ACAATTAAAAAAACGTAAATTTCTTCTAAATTTGGACAAATTAAAGAATTTTCTTCAGAAAAAAAGTATATGTACATAAGTTTTATAACAAAAACTAGCCATATGCATCATTTTTTTTTAAATTTGAAGTTTCATATGACTTTAACTCCCTAATATATATAATCTATTTATAAGGGACTGGTCTTTTTCTTTCGTTTGGGGGATGGTAGAAAACAGTGAAATTTTTCTGATTTTTTTCATGTCCCCTCCTTGAAGAATGACAATGTCAAGACTCTACCTTCCAAAGTCATTAAAATTTCACCACCCCCAAAAAAAAATAATCTCGGTACTTTTATTCTTTGTAACAAAAAATACATGCAGACAATTTATATTTATATTATTATCATTCAATAAAGTATTGTTCCGTAGTGGATCTAGAGCTTAAAGTGGGAGAAGTTGTTACATGTACCTAAGCAGTATTTGGGAAAACTAAGAATTTTGGGTCCTCAATACTCTTCAACTTCGTACTTTATTTGGCATAAACTTTTTTTATTCGAGCGTCACTAATGAGTCTTTTGTAGACGAAACGCACTTCTGGCTAACAAAATTTCAATTCTTGTATATATGATGAGTTTATTGTGACTTTCAGGAACTTTATTTGGATATATATATAAAATGCGGAGATGTAGTATAATTTCTAATGAGACAGCTATCCGACAGAGTTAAAATAAAGTGGTAGAAGCTGTTATAGGCCACCGTACAGCCTTCAACAGAGTTAAAATGAAGGGGTAGTAAGCAATTATAGGCGACCGAACGGCCTCAACAATGAGAAAAACTTTCAGCTATAAAAGGACCGACATGAAAAATGTTAAACAATTCAAACGAGAAAACTAACGGCCTATTTTCTAACAAAACAATTTTCGAAAAAAACAAATATATGTATGACACACTTGAACCAACGACAACCACTGTCCTACAGGTTGCTTACCTGGGACAGGCACATAAAGAATGTGGCAAGGTTAAACATGTTTGTGAGCACTCGATCCTCCCTTAACCTGGGACAGCGGTGTTAAATCACAATATACGAACAAACTATAAAATTCAGTTGCAATTTGCAACTCAAAAGATCGGGAAGATGCACTTTAACAAAAGACACAAAGCACCGGAAAAAAACAGTACTCGCAGTTACTGAAAGCTAGTTCCATGCCAATTACAACTAATACATCATCTTTTCCCAGACTAAAGTATCAAGCAGTACACATCCAATCAAAGATTTAGTGTAAAGACGTCAACAACAGTCTGAGAAACGCACAACCTTGTGCAATGCCAAAATACAAGTAAACAGTATCTATAATAGGATGTAGAATCATAAGTTATTGTAACTGTACATATATATAGCAACATATAGTTAGTTATGTTTTTTTTATTTTTCAGAACAAAAACGACGATTATAGTCCTATAAAACATGTTTTTAAAGATTTAACTTCTATGTTAAATTTATAACCTGGCTTTAAGAATAAGTTTATTTAAAGGATCAATTAGTTTACATGGAATGTGTCTAAATTTATGAGCTTTATATAACATCACCGTAAAATTAGGATGGGATATCCTGTTTGTAATAACAATTCTACAGGTGCAGCTTAACTATCGGACCAAGTCTTTATACCGGTGAAAGAAATTGGTAAAGGTTTTAATAAATTTGTGGTGCCTTTTAATTTACCAGTAATACATAAATTATGTTCATTGAGATCTAAAACCAACTACAGACACGGGCATAGCGAGCAAGTTGTGAATTCTATTATCACACCGTGAGAAGGGGCTAAAGGAATATGCTTGTAATGCCACCATGGACATTTATCACACTTTCATTCAATTTCAAGACAGTGTCAGAGGCGGATTTAGGGGGGAGGGCAGGGGGCCCGGCCCCCTTTTTGTGGGAAAAATTTGGCTGATTATATAGGGAATCACTGAAGCATGACTGGAGCGGGCCCTCTCTTAGGCAGTTAGTGGGCCCCCACTTAAATTTCTGAATCCGCCACTGATTGTTCAAATATATCCTTCATTAAAGGAGTTGGTAAATTAATTTTAGATAAAAATACTTTCTTGGAAGAAGATGTTGAAATTTAGGAATTGAATCTAAAAATTTGAGCCAAGCGGAGCGAGGCGAAAAAAAAATTTATGTCTTTTTGTGACAAAAAATTATACTTTTTATTGTAAGGGGAAGAGATGGGTGTTGGTTACCACAATTTTTCAATGCCTCTTCTTAAGTATTGAAAAATTGGACACTCCCATTTCCATGCCCCAAAATATTCAAGGCCCCTCATATTTTCCTCCCACCCCGTCGGCTTACAAATGACCTATCCCTAATATAGAAGTTTATTTCAAAAATAAGTTAAGTTTTGAATGCAAAGCAAACCTCCTCTAAGATAGTATCATAATTTAAACGACTGTGTTTTCCCATAACATGCATTCCGTTTCATGTATGCCCTTTTTAATATATAGATCTCTCTGAAAGAAATAAGTTTATGTTTATACTTCACTATGAACCAATCTTGTATCATCAAGACACCGAGTACATGTATCAGTTTTTTGTATAAAAATAATATCCAACTCAGTGATCTACAGCCCCTACCTCTGTAAGTACAAATATTCGTACTCGCTATACAATAATACACAAGAAGATTAACAGGAATTAATAAAGCATATTTGACAGCAATCAGCAACATCGTCCGCCCTGAAAAATAAATATTTGTAATCATCGAGGCCACTAGTTGATATTTGATATTTGGTCTTTGGTTTTATCTTTTTGTAACTTTTGCTGTACCATAGCTGGTTACTAGAATTTTTAACACTTAACCTCGATTTTGATCGTACAATATGTATTAGTACTCAGTGGAAAATCTAGTGAACGAGAACAACATAAATTCACTCTTCAAATGATAAGGTCTAGAAAAACAATAATAAAACAATGCCGGTTACGATACTGATCAAAAGTTATTTCTAAACAACAATTGTACGTTTTAAAGAATATAATTGTTAAACTGTGTTGTTCGAAATATACATGCGAATACACGATGTTTTGTGTTCAGTATTTATCGAGATAGATGGATTAGAAGCTTGTGAAACTGAAATCTAAATAATGTTATATATTGCTGCATATTGATAAAAAAAAAAAAAATGGAAAAAATCTTGTACATGTACGAGCAAAATCTCAAGGTCTTTCGGCTCACGAATTTTTGGAGTGTTACATTAGTCTGTTACATTTCCCAAAAAATACTTATATTTCAAAAGTAAGTTTTCGAGTACACCGGTTTGCTCTTGCCACGCCAGTGAATATGAAATATAGAAATATTGTCAATTCATGAATATAACAATTTAAAAGTCTGTCGGTGGAGATTCAAAATTATTTTTATAAAGTAGAAATCTTTTTATTATTTTTTATAAAATTTTAAGAAAAGATCTCGATTTTTGTATATGTATTTGCGGTCTTTTCGATTTGTTCACATTCAATGTTTAAGTCGGGGTAAGGTCCGTTTGAATTTGCTTAACTTAAATTTAAAAGTGTAAATCTTTGCTTTATATCAAACCTTTGGATCTCCCCCCCCCCTTGAACTTCTCTGATCTAGCTGCATATATATATACGAATAATTAGCATGTTCCAGAGCGGCATACAGCAAGTAGAAAGATAAATTGAAGTTGGTTCTCCAGGAATTTATTCGCATAGAAAATTTTTAAACCAATTTGACATTAAGCGGTAAACTGAGCTCCTATAAACTGCTGTACTTGTCGTTTGCTATTTAAGGAGAGAAATGATAACATTAAACGGAAGTTTTGTCTTTATTTAAACTTGTTTCTATTTTTTCCTTATTTGCCAGAACTTTTTTCTGTGAATCTATATTATAATTGAAAGCGTCCTCGCTAAAACGGGATAAACATTGAATATATCTAGTTTTCATTGTATACAGGGGAGGTAATATTTTGTTACTAGATTTCCGACTGTACTGGGTTAGAACAAACAAAAATTCGATTGGAATGAATTTCGGTGTCATCACTCGTCAGGTCGACCTGTTAACATTGCAAAAATAAGCCTTCAATACCCAACTTATTGTCAGCTTAGCAAAACAGTAAAAAAACGTTTGAAAGATAAAAATGCGGGATGAACGTGAAGTTAGAAACTATTGTCTTACAATTAAATACATTATTGCTTGCAGTCATAATTTAATTCAATATAAAAAGAAGAACAAAAATAATCTAAAACGCCCCCACGTCACCAAACTCACACATCATGTAACAATTTAAAAAGTACACAGAACAAATTTCAATCCGACGTGTGTTTGCATAATATAGAAGATAATTTCATATGCCCAATAAATAACTCTTATATTAATAAACTTTACAGTAACATTCCTTTATGATTTTTCAGACCTTGAAAACGTTATGAGCTATGATTTGCTTGATTTATTGTTGTGTTTATCGTCATTGTCATCACTACAAGTACTATTGGCAGGTCACTTCGTGGAGGCTAGATTTTTATTGGCGGCGGAAGGCGGGGTGCCGGAGATAACCATGCACCGACCTTCGGCAGGAAAGCTGACAGTCCCGGTAGCCGGGATTATTATACTAGATTAGTAAATAATCTAGGGTCCTTGTCAATAAAGATCGGAGTCAACGCGATACCTGGTTTGACTCAAGAATCTCATAAAAACTGCGTTAGTGTATTTCACATATTTTAATCTACCTGATAATATACAACAGGAAGCTGTCGCGATAAAACAACTGCTCCCCAAATGCAAATAACCTAAACGTATCTTTCCTTCCAACAATTAATTCAGTTGAGAACATATTGTACAACTTAACATGTAAACAATTTTCTTCTAGCTTCTTTTAAGTGTAGATTCACTTTCAACTTCAGCTTAGATTAAAACAATTCAAGGACATCTAAACCAGCAAGTTTCTTATAAATCCATTCGGAACACTCTTCATTCGGAAAAAGGGAGATAATCAATACAAATTTCCGGAATATTGCATTGTGGATATTTATGAACTCGCAGTCGTAAGAAATATCAATGCATTTAATTTATTTAATTTAATGCATTACTGTTGAAATTTCTGCACAATATCAGAGTAAATATAGTATTTATTTAAATGTCAATGTTTTTATACGGAACATGTGAGTAAAACGACAAATATTTCCCTAATCTGTATATCTTTTTGAACGGTCAAAAGGTAAACGTAATAACCGGAACTGTTTACGTCTATTGGAAAATACGTATTATAGTTTTCAAACAAATTTGACATAATTTAAGGAACTTCTCAACGCATTACAAATTGAATTAAAAACAATTATGATTTGTATTATGAATTTACATATTTAGTAAAAACAAGGATTTGTATAGTATTGTATTTATATGTTTACTATACAAATCCTTGGTAAAGATTAAACATGAAATTTGCGAACTTATTGACACTGGCCGGATATGACAATGTAGTTAGTTAAATTCAAATTTAATGTTACGGTGAATCCGATCCACATTTATGCTATCAATATACTGTTTTATAAAACTAAAAAGCTGAATGAAGTGCTAAATGTGCGTCATCCATTGAATTTCTTATATATGTTTTTGTAAATATAGTTTTATTTACTGAGTGAGTATTTATATGTTAGTACACGAAGTTACGCGATCTGCTATTGCACAGTCGGAACCTTATGATATACATACGAATATGTCGCTTGTATAAAAGATGACTTGGGAACCAAAATAACTCGTCTGTAAACTGCGTGAAATATAATATATTCATTTTCAGCTAAGGTGCAGACCAGTCGTCATCTTTTGTGGGAGTATGTTCTGTTTAAGATATTACAGTATAAATTACAATTTTTAGATTCTATTTTTTTAACAGGTAAAGTTGTGATTTACCGTGGGAACTGAGTATTAGCAGAGGAAAGTGAATTTCAAATATATGTTGTTTTCATTTAAAGAAAATACGATGTTGAATTCCGAAACTCTTTGTTTGTGTTTATTAATTTAAAAAAAAATATGAAAAAAATTAATTGTCCGGAGAGTCCCCCACAAAAGATGAACGATTGGTGCCTTAAATACTCATAAGAATAAGGAAAGAAACTAAAGTATTGCCTTCAATATAATTTAGAAAAAAAATCAAATGACGAAAGACAGTTATTTTTTGTTTATGAGATAACTATACAACTTACATAATTACTTATATTTTGCAGATAAAACAAGGGACAGTCCTTTTCAGTGGAAAGGTTACTACAGAATTCGTTTATCATGTTTATAGTAAGTATGACCATCTCTCAATGTTTTGTCGTACTTTCAACTTAAAACCCATATCTGTTGTCAATGTATTCGAGTGCTCCTATTGTTGACATACATAACATAGAAAACATAGAAACTTTATTACATGCCCCTTTACCTTTCATAATTGAACATACTACTAAGTTGTATTCTTTATTCTATTTTTCTATAGCCTGAATGAATCATGAGTCCTAGATTGCTCTGAAGTCTGACGGACTTTTTTTCGGGCTTGGTTAGGCCGAATGGAAAGGTCTCTGAAAGGCAAACGTGTTTTCAATATGAAAGTGACTATGGTAAACAGTGCGTTTTTTAGCAAATATTTTACCTGGATTTCTGTGGATGGTATACATTTCGGGTTAATTCGGAATGCGACACATTGTCTCATTTTTGAAAGACGTTTTCTTCGTATTGAATAAGCATGTTTCTTCTGTTCAATTATATGCCAATAAGTGAATAACACATCTTTGCAAATTTCTAAATGTACCTTTTTCACACACACGAATTCATGAACAAACCAATATGGCCGCAAAGACTAAAAATAGAACATAGTTTTGACATGTAAACTTGTATTGCCTATCAACTCGTTATCAATATAGAAAATCTGACAGAAGTAGAAATGTGCAGAATGACGATACCAATTTTTGATATTGAGAGACTTTGAATAGCAAAAATGATTAACAAGACAAAATCTATCAAGTCAACTCATTATAGGAGCTATTGCCCTGAAATGAGGAATCGTATCAATTTTTGGACATTTTTGGCATAAACTAATTTAGCTAACGAGAAACTACAAAAAGCAAAAATGATCAACAAGAGGATCTACATAAAAATAATCGCGGCCATTGCCAGTTCATTCCTTATAGGAGGCATTGCCCTCAAATGATGATTTTTTTTTAACATTTTTGCATTTATGGCAAAAAACTGTCATGACTGTAGTAGAAAGAAACTATAAACTATACGATGATACTCGAGTTTATAATGGTGGCCATTATTGACATTGCACATGTATCAAGATGAGCGACCAGACTCTTTAGAGCCTCTAGTTTGTTTTGTTCCTTTGTTGGTGTGTAACGCCACTTTTTGTCCGGGCTTTTTCATGGCGATTCGTTTTTTTTTGTTACAGGAGAAATTCGAAGTAACCGCAAAAAACCATCGACAAGAAAACTGTTATTTTTGGCCAAGTGATTGTCGTTTCATATCGATTTTTGATTTTTTTTTTGTGTCATGTTTTGTATCTTTTCCTTTTCTTTCGTGAACTTAATTTTTTCAAATCGTTTTAATAAAGTGCAGATTCGGTTAAAGTAATTTGACCATCACGAATTTTATATTTCGTTATCACGAGTAAATTTGTTATAACGAATCTGAGGAATTAGTTATCACGGATTTCTGTGATGCCTGGTTACGGATTAAAAGCGTTATCAGAGGTTTCTTTAATTCGTGAAATCTTATTAACTTGGTTATCACGAACTTTAAAAAATCGTTATCACGAATACTCGTTATCAAGAATTAAATATAGCGTTTGAACGACTTTGGGGAAATTGTTATAACAGTTTGGTTAAGTTCGTGATAATAGATTCACAAAAAATCTTGATCACGGATTAAAATTACTGTCATGAACGGTATAATCCGTTATCAAGACGAATTATTTATCACAGATTTTTTTATTCGTCATTACGAATTAAATCAGTTATCCCTGATTTTAGGATTAAATCCGTAGTAAAAAATTCCGGAATATTGGTTCCAGTAGAAATCTGTGTTAACAAATTCTTTACTATTTGAAATTTGAAATTTGAAAAATTGTGGTAACGATTTTAAATTTTGTAATCATGGAACTAAAAATCGTTATTGTTACTGATAAAAATCGAAATCATGAATTTTGAAATTCATTGCTTGTGTTTAACACCACCTCTAATCCGCGCTTTTAAGCGGTTCTTTGCTTTTGCGCCAATTGGCATTTCATTTGCGCCAAAATGGTCTTTCATTTGCGTCACAAACCATATTTCATTTACGCCAATAATACAGGTAAATAGTATAGAAATAGTGTAATTCAAAAGGCACTTTTGATAATATCTTTAAAACACAGTTTTTGATTGCATACAAAAAATATATTCCTCCGTAATCAGTCATCGTAACCATAATGAAAGCACCATACACTGATAAGTTCTTGATAAGAGACTTTTCATGATAATGTTAACACAGTTCTGTTATAAATTAACGAGACCATAAAACCTTAAAGAAAACACTATACACTAGAGTAAAACCTAAAGTTTGTTCTGACACAAGACTTGTAAGCAACGGCTCGAATGTACTCCTGTACATTTGATAACCGGTATGTGTGGTTATAAAAAAATTATTTCATCTAAAGTATATAAAAATAAGGAGATGTGGTAAGATTGCCAATCACACAACTATCCACCAAAGTTCAAAAATGAAGTGGATGAAAGCAATGATAGGCAACCGTACGGCCTTCAAAAACAAAAAAAAACATACCGTATAGTCGGCTAGAAACAGCCCCGACAGAATAATCTTAAACAATCCATCTGAGAAAACCAACTCGGAATTTGTATCTTAATTGACAATGTCCATCTTGACACCTAGTTCAAACATGTGAACACTATATAGTTTTAAACATAAGTGACTCTCAGTTTTATATTAGAAATGAGTATGAACTTACTTAGGTGCCTGGGGGAATTCTGTCAAAAAATCTTATTCACGATGTAGAAATGAATATTCAAACCTTTTCGGTATATGTTACCTGTAAAATGGTGCAAATGTAGTTTTTATTTTTTGGCGCAAATGAAAGATTGGATTTTGTAAAAATTGCCGCTAATGCAATGCGCCTCTGCGCTTTATCATGGCGATCCGTTGTTAGTATCATCATATTCTTTTGTCCATACTCCGTCGGAATTTTGATTTGTAATTTTTTACGAGAGTTATAAAGCTTAAAATTACCTTTTTTTACTATCGTAACACAAAGACAGTGTAAATGTAAACGCAACTCCTCTGAGACTGTTTGCCAGAAAAGGGAAATACACCTACATGTATATATATATATTAAGTGTGCGTCCGAAGAGCTTTTCTTGATTTACCTTCATCAGGACAGCTCAAACCCAAGCATTTCATGTAGAAATATTCTAATACCAGAACAATTCAATAATTATTATCAAGATTGTTTTTCTTCAAGGTTAGTTGTTTATACTTTACCTTCATTTTAATTAGACAATTTTTTCAGGAGCGAAGATACCTTTAATTTGATTTTTTAAAACTTTTTTAAACACAATGGTACCTTGCGAACGCAACATCTCAGAGCCTGTTTGCCACATTTTGTGTAGCGATCGCCTCACGTGCTTGTGGAGTTCGATCCCTTGCCTAGTCGATATATTGGTGTTTGCTGCTTCTCCACCTTTTAAGCTCGCGGAATTAACGAAAACCATGCAGTCGGTTAAATCTCAGATGTAATTTCTCCGGTTAGGGCGATTTATTTACCTTGTTTACAAGTGAAATATGATGAATGACGGTTGGGTATGGAACAAGATATAAATCGCCTTTCTGTACGACAAAAAAATATAAAGTTACTAAGGACACTCTAGCTAATGCAGATGGCGTAAAACATATTATGTAAGTGCTTTTGCAGGTTTTGTCTAAGTATCCTAGATAAATTGACAATTAAAAAGTGCTTTGCGTGCCGGCCAATAATTCTGGCTTCAGGCGAGTTATTCTGAAAATAGAGAGTAAACATAGACGAAAAAACCTATGAAGATAGGAAAGGCACTATTTATGTTCAAAGTACTTCTAAATTCAGGCGTATTTCATTTGTTTAAAATTACGGGAAATTCAGTAAAATTGCGAAATTACGAGAAATCTTGACATTTTTTACTTCCATATATATGCTTTACAAATAATACAGAGCATAACCGTCACCCAAGAAGATATTCACACAGCATTTTTTTAGCTCATCTGGCCCTTTGGGGGGCCATGTGAGCTTATGCCATCACTTGGCGTCCGTCGTCGTCCGTCGTCGTCGTCTGTCGTCGTTGTAAACTATTTCAAGATTCTTCTCCTCTGAAACTACTGGGCCAAATACCTTCAAACTTTAACTGAATGTTCCTTAGGATTATCTAGTTTGTTAAATGTATCCGGAGTTTTGATCCATCAACAAAGATTGCCGCCATGGCTAAACATAGAACATAGGGGTCAAATGCAGTTTTTGGCTTAATATATCTCAAAAACTACAACAGTTAGAGCAAAAGTGAAAGGGAATTAAAGTGGGTCATGATTTATATGTTTTGAAAATGTCAGAAAAGTTCGACAACCCATTGTTGGGCTACTGTTGGAAATAGTTTATTTTTATTGAATTATACTGTTTTTGGTTATTTTCTTTAATATTATAATAGATAGAGATTTTACAGTTTTGGGTTATGTATTATCTTTAATATTATTATAGAAAGAGAGAAAGTGTAAATGACAAAATTGTTCAGCAAAGTAAGATCTTCAAATAAGTCAAATGCCTGAAACTGAAATTGCAGGTGAGCGATATCAGGCTCTCATGAGCCTCTTGTTTGACTTCTATTCACTGACAAAAAAAAAGGTTTTGGTGACGCTTGTGCTCTTGTTAATGTAGTTAAAATGTTACTAATAATGTATAAGCCAATTGTTGCTTAAAATTTGAAAAATCTCGTTTATGACATTATTTTCACAGTCAAATTGTACCATACAAGGCTTGCCCTATATTTACGTTTTCTGAAAGCGTTTTATGCCCCCGCCGTAGCGGAGGGGGCATTATTTTTACCCTTGTCCGTCTGTACGTCCCAAAGTTGGTTTCCGTTCTCTATCTTTAGTTTTCCTTAGCCCAATGCTATGAACTTATACACAATGCTTATAACACAAAACACAGATCAAGTTTGAATTTTGGTGGCGTCACTTTAACCTTTCTAGAGTTATGCCCCTTCACAAATGAAAAAAATGCTGAATTTTTCGTTTCAGTTCTCTAACTTTACTTTGCCTCGACTAAATGTTATGAAACTTATCCACAATGCTTATTACCACAAAAGAGAGATCAGGTTTGAATTTTGGTGGTGTCACGTTAACTGTTCCAGAGTTATGCTTGTTTACAATTGCTGATTTTTTTCGTTTCAGTTCTCTAACTTTACTTTGCCTCGACCAAATGCTATGAAACTTATACACATTGCTTATTATCACAAAAGAGAGATCAGGTTTGAATTTTGGCGGTGTCACTTTAACTCTTCTAGAGTTATGTCCTTTTACAAATGGAAAACATGCTGAAATTTCGTTTCCGTTCTCTATAAGTTTGCCATTACCAAATGTTATGAAACTTGTATACACGATACTTTTTCAACAAAACTCAGATAAAATACAAATTTGGGTAGTGTCCCTTTTAACTTTATATGATATACAAGCGGAGGCATCATCTGTGTCCCATGGACATATTCCCGTTCCCATTTATTGTTCTGAAGTTTAGAAATTGTTTTTAACAATATCGAACACAATATTTACTCTTTGTTAATTTTCTGTACCATAAAAGCTCCAAAAATGACCCTTCTCCTTAGTTTCTTTGTAATATGGTATGGGCGTTTAGTTTAGTTTATACATAATATGTTTTTCACAACTTGAACTACAGTTGTAATATACAAAGTTGTATATAGCCGCCTTAAAGGATTTTTTTCTCGTCTTTAATAACGATTTTTCCACATAATTTTTCTTGCGGGTTGTATCAAACATCTTGGAAACTATAAAAAAAAATAAGTATAACAAAAATACTGAACACGAAAGGTCCTAATTGAAAAGATAGAGAGAAACTGCAAGCAACAAAAACGATAAGCAAGATACTTATAATCTAAAAATATATCAAATAAAGGACATCGTCAACCGTCTCCTTGTGTGAGGGATTGCCTTTTTGTGACGATTTGTTCACTCCAAATTTTGCGGTTTTTTGGCAATTATCTAGATACAGTTAATAATAATACGTTAAAAAAAACTTAACAGCATAAATGATCAACAAGTTCTGCCAAAAATGTCAACGCGACAGAAATCGTCACTTGACTATTTTAGTAGGTACATTTAATAAATAAAACGACAATTTTTTCCCACTTTTAGCATTTTTTGATAATTTATGAACGCTAAATTAGATTGAGATACACCAACTGGTATGCCCACCTAGGTATTTAAACGACAAGCACACATGATCGATTGCAATAAAGGATGAAATGAATATAAAAATGGCATATTTTTGCACGGTTAGAGAATAAGGATGTGGTAATAAAGACCCCTTTTTTGGGTATAAATATTAAAAAAAAATCCTTGGTTGCAGCTTGCGATGTGTAATGAGTTTTACATGAACATATTTAGGTTTGCATTTCAAGAATGTTAATATTTAAATGCGTATGATCATGTCCATATCCATTATTCTATAATTTCAGACTGCATTATAGACATGGAGGAAAGTGTGGTGTTGTTAGAAAAGATCCCGGTCCAACATTCGTCTCCAGATGGCCCACCTTCATTGCAAGCAGCTTCAGACAAAATTGGCTTAACATGGAGTTCGGCTAAAGCAACTTCTTCACATCCTGCTATGCGAAACTCGACTTCATCTACAGAGTTACCTTACCTTACGGATATGGATTCAATCGCGGATGTTTGTCTTGTTGGTTCCACAGCCACAGTAAAACTGTGTTCTTTGTCACAAATATCGACAGATCTGAATTATACAAAAGAATCGGCAACAAAATCTGAAACCCTACCATTACCAACTCACGTAGTATCTTCTGTGAACAGTAACTCGGTTAGTCTGTCTATCACTTCTCTGTCAACAGGGATAAATAAGGTGACAACTCCGACAACGTGTCACAATGATGAATCTAATACCCCACCAGTTAAATTGTCATTAGCAGTTTTATCTAGTTCGTCTTCTACTGAATATATCACAAAAGGTAGATTTGCATCACCAGGTTCATCAAGTACATCATCGACCAAACACAGCCCAATAGGTACTTTGGCATCAATAATTCCTTCAAGTATTTCATCAACAGAACATTTCTCATCAGGTTCATTGGTATCAACAGTTTCATCAAGTATTCCATCCACCGAACCTTTGACCATAACCGAGGAAAATATTATGTTATCTACTCAAACCGAAAAATCATCTAGTCCACACATTGTAGATAAAACAGAACTTTGTACTATAAAATTTCGTCCGGAAACATTGCCAATTGCTGATGCTACGAAAACAGAAACAACATTAGAAATGGACACTGCCGAAAGAGACGTTGAATATGTAAGTGAAGAGAACGAAAATTTTGCTCAAAGTCACGTGCAACTTGACAACAGTCAACCCTCGACACCAACATCTTTAGATTCCATAATGTCGTTCTCTTTGTCAAATAATGACAGTAATGATGGATCTTTTTATATGGAAGTGGATGATATTGACAACGAAAGAAGTGAAGACGGGGAAAAAGATGACGGGGAAAGCGAACAAGGAAGTCAACTTTCTGCTGAGATTAAGGCAAAATTCAGTGAAAGCAGGTATACATGGTATAAGCGTCTGTATTAGAAAATAATATGATATCAATATATGTAAATAAAACACTTGTTTCTCGAATAATCCTCATCAGATACGTTCGAAATATGCCCGGAAAGCAAAAAATAACTCCAAATCATTTAGAGCACAAATCAAAAGGGCATAAAAAGAACAAAATCAACCTAACATTGTCCTTGTGAGTTACAACTTTCACGTACAGGGCGCATCATTTCTTCTTGAATTTTGGTACGACACTTCCTTAATTTGAACATCCTAAAATCAGGCAGTCGACACTCATTGTCTAGAGGACAGTCCTCAGGGACAGTCTAAGTTGCACAAGTTTCAAACAAATGAGACCAGGCGCGTTGGCAACAGAAACTCCTCTTTTTTGCATGTTTTCTTCACTCGATTCCAAGTTTCAAAGCGATGAAAATAAGGAAACGGGTCTTTAGATAATTGGAAACATCACTTTAATCTTTATAAATGTCAATAGTCGGAAGCGCTTCTCTGGATTTACCTTCATCATGAACGCTCAAATCCGAGTATTTGAAAGCAAAGGATGTATAAAAACCGAAACAGTCGAGGACCTATATGACCAAAAAGAATCCAATTTTGAAACATAATATTCAAATAAATCTTAGGCCAACTTTGCTTGTCGGATTTAAAATCTTAGTTTATTAATAATTTTTAAATTTATGACTGGACAAAAATTTAAAGAAAGGTCTTTTTCAAACGTTTGATTCCGATGTACGTGAACTCGTTATCCGTTCTGGAATGTATATTTATTTTGAACGCTTAAAGTGGTATTAGCTGTCAAATTCATATTCACCGACGAATTTAGACGATTTATGTATACAGAATGTGTTTTCAGCCTTGTATCACCATCACTGGTGATCCGATGGATAACATCTGTCTTAGAGTTGTCACTGGTTCAGACGTACTTATAATATAATTATTTCTGTGACTGCATCCTACATTATTCTTTAAGATCCTCTACGATAGATAATTCAGCTGATCTGTAATATTCCATCTTCATGCCTTATATATTATGTACTGTGTTACGACGCTAGATAAAAACTGACGAGGAAAGGTAACACCCGACCATCGAAAGCTTGATTTTTGTCGAGCCTAGGTGGTCGAGTGGTCTATCGCGTCGGGCATAGTGCAAGGCGATTTGGTGCCACGATATCTCAGTAGCATGAGTTCGAATCCCGGCCAGGGAAGAACAAAAAATTTGCTTCCGCAAATTTAGAGATCTAACATTGTTTGGCTGTTTTTTAGACGAATTATATATATAGTAGCATGAGTTCGAATCCCGGCCATAACATGTATATATATTTTTTTTCGAAGATGTGCAAAAATAAAAATTAAATGCTGTTTTTGAAAACTTGATACGAAATAAAAACAAGTGACGATCACAATTTTAGCAAGAAACGCCTCTGCGCTTTATGCAACTTCATGCAAAGTGTGATGTTACGTTCTTTCACTTTCATATAAAGTTTTTTTTAAAAGGGATGTAACTCCATAATAATCCGCTTTTCAAATTGACAACAGTGTAAAAAACAAAATGAATTAATATAAATCAAACTTTGCTTTTTCAGCGATTCGTTTGCATTGCCTCCAGCACAAAGTATGGAAAAGGACAAAATATCGACAGAAGAGCTTAGCAGATCGAAATTTTCTGCCGACGAGCCTATAAAACGAACATCACCTGATAATGAAAAAGATACAGATAAAGATCAGTCAGAGGAAACTTCAATTAGTACAGATTGTTATATTAGATTTCCCGAAATTACGAAGCAGCTTGCTTGCAAGTTTCCACCTCTACCACAAGCCGAAGATTCATTTGAAAGTTGTGATGAGAAACAGTCATCCGAAACTGTAAAACGAAACACACCTGTTGAATTAAAGTTTGATGGAAGGGAGAACAGCACAGCAATAAAACAGAAAAACTATGACACAAACCGAAATCCAGATGGTACAATGTCAACCGAAAAAGTAAAAGTTGATGTGAATAAAATAGAAATATCATCCAAAAGTAGAAATGATAACGACAGTCAAAGTAATGTAATTGAACGGGTAATAAATGATGCATGTATTCAGAGGGACGATGAAATTGATCATGGAGTTGGCAGTTCTGAAAACGAGGAACTGAGTGAGAACCAGAAATCAAAAACAGAACATACCATCAGTTTTACTAATCCAACACCTGTCTTTCTATTTGCTAACAAGAATAACAAAAAGTTTTACCAGACAGAGATAAATAAACCAATTACACTGAAGGATTTTGAAGACAGTCCAAATTTATCTCTTTGCACGGATTCAACTGACAAAAAAGATCTTCAAACAAGCCCTGGTTCAAAGACGAAAACAAGGTTGAACAAAGTGTCCAAGTCATTAAGTAGCACAACGGATGTATCTACAAACAAAGCGAAACCACCGAACACTACAGAAAAAACAACTGCCATCAAAAACAATGCCTCGACTTCGAATTCGGTGATAAAAATTCACCACACAACTAATCCTTTAGACCCGAATATTGTCGTTGTGCGTCCAACCTCCGTAGTTTCTTCGACACAAACAACTTTAGTAGATTGTGCAGGAACACAAACCCCCCGCTTAATAGGAAACGCGTCAGTATTCCCTACATGTGCTACAAGTTTATTGAAATCGTTTGTTTCTGATTCTTTGAAGATATGCAACACTGATAATTCTGTAGCACAGTCTTCAAATCGGTTAGAAACCTCCAACATCACCAATGTTATGCCAAGTAGCAATCGTCCAATGCATTCTGGGAAATACAATAATAATCTCTTTAGGAATAAAAATGCAAATCCGGAACTTATTGTTGATAATTCGATGAAATCTACAATAGCTGGACCTATGGTAACATTAAATTCTTGTGGAGCACAAAATCTCAAGAATAATGACAGTAAACCAACTATCGCTGTTGCTGGTCATACGAAGCCGATTCTCTCAACGATACTATCAACAAAGCCGAATGTTGCAACTGCTATGCCCTCGCAAGTGAATGTATCAACTACAGTGCCGACGAAACGAAATGTTGCAACTGCAGTGCCGACGAAACCGAATGTTGCAATTGCAATACCCTCTCAAGTGAACGAATCAACTGTAGTGCCGACGAAACTAAATGTTCCAAGTGCAATGCGGACAGAGATCAAACGAACGTTAAGACCAATGTTAATACCAACTTCATTGTCAAATCCAAATCCAAACGCAAACAATGTTCAGTTATTTAAGTTTGAACTTCCAAAAGTCAAAATTGTAAGAGAAAATGATGTTATCAACAGACGAACTGTTGAAAACACGACAATATGTAAACAAAGTTCGATGGCTGGAAATCCTGTCTATACAAATGTCACGACATCAAATTGCCAACAAATAAGACTTTCTACGAGTCCTTTCTCAGCTACGACGCCCAGCACTGATACTTCTAGTACAGGACCTTATCATTGTCAGTTAGTAAAAACGGGAACACATCCGCGTGTCAGTTTTAGCGATGTTAACAACGATGAAAAAATTACAAATCCTAACCAAAACCCATTAGTAATTACTGTTTATCCAAAAAATTATAGTATGTCTTCTGTATTGGTACCATCATCGAAAAGTGTTCCAGCTAAAACTGTTCAGGGAAAAGTGTTGATGCAAACTGGAAAGTCTTTACTAGAATCTGCAACAGTTAACACTGCTGTGTGTAATTTGACAAACCAAATAACAAGCAGTCAGATACGTTCATCTAACATTATAAGCAGTAGTAATACATCGTTCCAAAATTTCGGCAAACTTGTTTCTGTCCTTCCAAAAACCGTGCACAAACAAACAGCAACAGTTTCTGCTGAAAGTGTTCTCGAGAAAACGAGAGAAGTACTTCAAAAAAATTTAGAATTATTAAAGAAGACAAGTGATAAGCCGGAAGTTTTCAACCAGACCAACAAAAAGGATAACACAAAAGTAGTAAGTTCACAAAAACAAATGTTATCGACAGCTAATCATCTTACAAAATGTGTTGTAAAAGCAATTTCTCCAGGTTTTACCTCCAACCCACCAACTACAACTGGTCATTTAGCGGTCCCGACTAAAGAAGTGATTGTGCGGCCGCCCATTATTGTTAAGGTCATTAATACGCAATCTAACAATTCTGTATCTATACTTCCAAAAGGAGTTGGACTACATCAGCAAAGTACGACACTGGAAAACACGACTTTTGTTTCGCCATTGAAAACCTTTACCGTATGTGATGCATTGAAACAATCGATTGGTTTTTCTGCTGCTAGACCGTTGAAAACAACAACTGTAACAAAGGAACTTCCTGAGATGTACATCCGTTCTAATAAACCGGAAATGGCACCTGTGCAAAATAATTGTTCAAAGACAACACTGGTGAGTCAAGATGTTCATTATTATGTAGAGAATGATTCGACATCAGAATACCCACGTGATTTATTAAATCAACAGTATAGAGGTAATCGGTCTGTCAAATTGCCTTTCACTTCAAAAGATGGTGAAGTCATCAAGTTGAGTAAAGTCAATACGACTTCTCAATTTAGTGTGCCAATCATCGGATCACGTAGCCAAGGCATTGCTACCGTGAGTCGTTTAGCTACTTCTCTTCCTGTGGTGGAAAAATCTAACACAGATTGTGAGTTTAACTGCGAAGAAAATACAGAAAGTCACGGTATTTTAATCGATTCTGTTTTTTCGCTGAGGCAGAATGATGCTGATACACAAAATGGACTTTCTAGGGAGGTAACTCGGTCTAAAGTCGACAAAGAACAGTCTAGATATTTTGCTTATCAGTTTGATTGTAATGTTGAACGCGCAAACGTGAGATTAGATAAAGAAGCTAAGGAAGATGATCGGCTCAGGGAACCTTGTTTTGTTGTTCTCCAGAGCTTAAACGACGGATCGACAGTTGAATCTCGGTGTTCCCTCGAATGTAGGAGACCTGTTGTAAAAAGATTATGTGAAAGAATTGTTCGAAAAGCAATGAAATCTAATAAAATATGTATAAGAAAGCGTATTTATACATCGGCAAAAAGACGACAAAAGAAGTCATCCCCAATTAAATCTGGTCAAAGTCATCAGAACGCTAAGTCTTTATCTCTTCAACCTAATGCTATTACTTCTGCACAAAAAAGTGCAATTGTACCGCCAATTTCGGTGGCAATCAGACCTGGAAGAATGTTACCAAATCCAACAGACACAGTTTCAAAAGTTGATCAAACGATCACTGATAAACAAGGCAACAAATTTATGATGATAAAGCTAGGCAGTAAAACTATACTTATTCCAACTATCAATAAAGCTGATAAACCCAAAGCTTACGTTCTAGAATGTGATCAGAAAACACCACTTAATGAAGCAATTAAACTAGTAACAAAACAGCATATGGCCTCTTTACCGGATAAAACAAATACATCCATTTTATCATTGGCCAGATCAAACCCGTCGGCCACTGTTACTAGACAAACGCCAAATACTTCTAGCGTGGCAACCTCATCATTTGCGGGATGGACTTCCGCTACAACTACTTCTGCGCATACGACATTTCCAATGAACAGAGTGAAAAGCGAACCTGTAACTACAGGATACGGAGATGAACAAGGTAATAATGATTACACTGTAACAGTAAAAACTGAACCCGAGTTTTCTGGATTAGGCGAAAGAGATGAATCAAAAGATACGGACAGTGGTCCTTCAGCAAACAAAGTTGCTAGAACAGAAGACGCTCCAAAGACTGAAAGTGCATCTGAAAGAATAAAACGTTTAAGGGATGAACTAAAGACTCAAGAAAAAGCTTTGGAGGAAGTCAGACGCAAAAGAAAACTAGACATGTCTTATTTGTATTAAATAGATGTTGACAATTTCTCCACTACGCTGAAACTCGACATAAACGCGAAAATGAAAAAAAAAGATATTTTTCATAATTTTCATTGAGTTAATATAGTGATCAGTGAAGCATTTTCAATATCTTATTACACTTTTATATTTTTCATTGAAAATGTTATTGACAAAATGTTTTACGAAGTCCTCAAAGTGAAACCAAGATTGTTTCTTTAGAATGAAAGACATTCTTTATCAAACAAAACACGTTTTAAGATTTTTATTCATAGGAGATAATCTAAGGGTCTGAAATTGCAAAAATAGTAAACTTATTGAAGCCTTTCAAAATGATTTTAATTTTATTGATAAATGAAAAGGTTAAGATAAGCTGGACACTCAAGTGTTGTTGAAAGGTCTCATGTGATGTCACTGTGACCTTCAACATCTCTAAATTTACGTATTTAAACTAAAATTGCCATTTCAGGCGATGATGGTTATTGGTCAAAATATTATCAGCAACGGCTTTCCTTAAAACGATATTTTACATACCAGGGGCTGATTTAGGCGGGATGGCGGGCGTGCGGGCCCCCATAAATTTGCAAAGCATGGGTTGTCCTCAGCTTAATAAAGAATATTTCGATAATTTCACCTCAAAAAATTTGTTTCGCCTCGAACCGCTCGCCTCAAATTTAAGTTTGCGCCCGCCAAACCTAAAATCCTGGATCCGCCACTGCATACATCAACTTTGTAAATCACATTTTGTAGCAAAATATCTTTGTGGGTAAAGCTGTTGCTCATATCTAAATGTATGACACGATCTCAAAATGAGGTTATTTTGACAGTTTTTTTTTATGTTTTTTTTCTCAAAATGTAAGCAGTTTAAAGCCCTAATGCCAACATGTCTAAAAAAAAAACCCCAAAAATATCAATATTGTTGTTTGACGGGTACTGTCTTATGAACATCTGAAACGTGTTTTGTTTGATTTCTTACTCTTTGATGTTCGAATTCAATCGTCCAAAATTGTGACCTTATATTTTTTTTCTCCTTTGATCCTATTTTTTATTCTTTAGATTTTACCATTTCACGAGGGTAATCATTTTAAAGATAAGATGACTAATATCTGCCTTAATTAAAAGTAAATTTCACAATTTATTGGTTTAAAAGTGGCGCACATGTATCATATAGAAAGGTATTCTAGTATTTGAAATTACAGGGATTAGCAAAATACAATGGTTAGAGCGGAATGCGTTGTAAACATTTATTTGTGCAATTTCTCACTGTTTTTAATTGAATGTTTTTTTCCAACAGTTTTAAGTATTTTTTTTATGTGTATTTTAAATATCGGGCTGAATGAATGTGACTATGAAAGTTGAGATTTCGTTTGAAAGAGACTTAAAAAACCGCTTTTTAAAAACCCCATTTAAAGATCAGTGTTTGTTGTAGTTTTTGTCGATCGTTTAATTAGTAAGATTGAATGAGTTTTGAAAGTCTGATCAAATGATCGAAAGATATTTTATCGAACCGTGCATGTACTTTACAATCGTAACTACTCATTTATTTTTGCTACGCCTATAATGACGTAGTGAGAATGGCCAAGTAGTCGCGACTGGTGTTCAGTTGAGGTCTAAAGAATATCTGTCAATCGAGTATGACCGAAAGAGATCGATCGTTTAATGTTATCGTGATAACAGGTATCAACAGCACCATCTAGTTATACAGTACTGAACTGTATTTAAGGCGGTTGTAGCGTGAAGAAAAGTATGAAAAGGTTGAGTTAGGAGAACCCATGAAGGGTGAATGCGGTCAATATTGTTTACTGTCCTTCAATATTGTTTACTGTCCTTCAATATTGTACAACATATAAAGAGAAGTTTATTTAAGTTTTTGTTTTATTAATAAATTATTTTTTCCAGCGTTTACAATTGTCTCAAAGAGTAACATGTTACAAGGAAAACACCATTAGTTCAGTTAATTTGATATTTCAGTACGGGCTTACTGATTGGTTGATAAAAAACCCAAAACAGAACATCAGGTCGGTGTTGAATGTATGATCGTTCGGTGGTAGTGTTCAGCACACATAGCATTGCTTGCGTTAACAGAAAATTATGCCAACATAACAAAATCAAGAGTCTTGAAAGGTATCATCACATAGATAAAACTCATCGTTTATAACAATATTACACAATCTAATTAAAATATAGAACTCGGATTTCGTTATACTGCATACGAGTATACAGTATAACGAACGAAATCCGAGTTCTATATTTTAATTAGATTGAATATTACAGTACTATTCATATATAAAAGCAACCCCAAAAATATTAATAAAGCTGTTGATTGTCAGAAATATGCACGACCAATTCCAGTTTGCCTGTTAACAGATAAATAGATGAATCCGGCATTATTCTACTAGCAATAAAAAGAGGCGGAAAATGCCAAAGGGAGAGTCAAAACTCATAAGTCGAAGATATACCGAGAAAATCATAGTACAAACGAAAAACGACGAAAGACAAACAACAGTATACAAACACGACATAAAATCTAAAGCCCGAGCAACACGAACCCAACAAGAAACCGGTGGTGATATCAGTTGCTCCGGAAGGCAGGGGCGGATCCAGCCATTTTTAAAAGGGGGGTTCCAACCATATGTTCCCATTCAAATGTATTGATCGGCCAAAAAAAGGGGGGTTCCAACCTTCGTAGTTATCTCATATGTAAACCATAACTTCTCTAATCATTAGCCGATTAATACATTCCCCGAGCGGCTGATAAAAAGTTTTTATGAGCAACATGGAGTTCGTTTGATAATTCATTTGTCAAAATTCAAATATGATAGACGTCAAATTTTCTATCTTTCTTTTGATTTTTCTTTTTTGAGAGCACATCTATTTGTAGATCATTGAAAAAGTTAAGATATCGTCTTCAAATCATTAAGAGAAACAGATTCCACCGCCGAATCTTGTGCGAAACGATTTCTATAATATAGACAGTTACATTTAAAATATTTAAATCGCTCGGTAAACATCGAAATTTGAAAATTGAATTGTCTGAAGTGGAGAAATGTTGTATCATACTCGATGCAGATGTTGAAACTACATGTTTCTGTGACGTTTGAGACAGAGTTGGTCTTTGTAAGTTTTTTTGGGGGTTTAGGGGGGGTCGGAGAAGTCGGGGAGACTGTTGGTGGTTGATGAGGTCTTTCCAGTATTTTGGGGGAATTCCTGTTGTTCTTTAAGAATTATGTCTTTTTATGATAGTGTGTAGTCATGCAAATAGGAAGGTCTGCATTTGGATTAACAGAAAAGAGAATGGTAGACAAAAAGAATAAAGTGATGCTAAATTAATAAAAAAAAAAAAAGAGAATATTTGGCACAAGATATAAATGATAGAAAAGAATGCACTGGGGAAAAGAAGCTCTCTTAACACCGAATCTCTTATCAGTGGAGACCTTGCCCGAGTGAATCAATTCTTCTATGGTCTTATGCCAACAACCGACTGTAATTTCATGTCCATGCAGAGTAGTTGATTTTGGTCAACATTTGAATGATAACAGTCGAATTTTTATGCGTTTTTATATAAAAAAAATATCAAAATATTGAACTTCCAGAAGCCTTGTAGGATTATACATAATTGATAGATTGTTAATTGCTTAACGTCCAGTGGAAAGAATAATATAAGGCCGAGACAACTTTCAGTATACACACAAAATTAACAAGACACATGCAAACAATGGCAAAACTTCAAATTAAAACATAAGCAATAAGAAATTCCAGAAAAATAGGGGTTGTTATCACGTGATTCGGAAAGGTATGTATATCAATAACTGCATAAATAAACTATCTACTATCGTTTGGCGTGTCCAAAATTCTTTAACGATGATGATAGTCTTGTAATTAACAGGAACATATCAACTCTGACTAGAATTTGAGGTTGAGAAAATATATGTATAGAAGTACAAGGCGCTCGACACCTTGTGATCTGTTTGACTAATACTTTGGAGTTTTCTATACTCTTTCTTTTCTGTCCATAATTATGTTTATCAATTTAACAAGCAGAATATATTTTGATAATTTGCAACATGTTGATTACCACGAGTTGCAGATGTTACTGTGTCTTTCCAGGTTTTATGCCTATGGCAAGGGAAAAGAGGTCTGTTATCAAATAAAAGTTTTGCCTGTTCTTCATCTTTTGATTTATCCCAATGTTTTAAAATATTGTTCTTTAAATGTGGTTTCTGTCTTGAAAACACTGCGGAGAATACTAAGTGAGGTGACTGTAATACATATTTGGGTTTAAACATTAATGTGCCATTTCTTTGTTTTGCAGTCGCCTCCTGCATAACAGTTTTTAATTTCATTTTCTTTATTTCCCCTATAAGGCGTTCAGAAAATAACGCATATTGTGTTTGCAAATCTACTGGATCATTCGTACATCTCTTGAGTTTGAATGTCCCTCTGGTATATTTCGCCTCATGTCTCTTCAAGCGAAGCATTTCTCCTTTAATTATACCTCTTGAAAGTAGAGGATGGATGGCATGATGACCTCTAGCTCTTAGTACTGATAATTTTCATTTTTTCCGGAAAAAAATGAAAATTGAAATAAATGATGTCAAAAACAGTGAACACTTTAAGTGTCAAGTAACAGATAACAGGATTCCCATTTTTATATAAAACAGTTAACAACATTGCCAATGTCGACAGAACAGATAACAGACAGTGGGTTGAAAACAGTTAACATTATATATATTTCAAATAACAGTTCAGGAACAACACCTTGAAATAGCCCTAAACAGGTTAACAGAAAAAGGCATTGCCCCCTCTATTATACGACCTTGACAATGTATACTATGTCTCTGTATAACAGTAAGACTTGCTAAATAAATCCGGCTTGCATTTGTGTCTTCGACAATGTATTATGTTTTCAATCATTATCAATATCCAGTGATGGATCCAGAAATTTCCTAAGAGGGGTCCCGCTCCAGTCATGCTTCAGTGATTCCCTATATAATCAACCAAATCTTTCCCTCAAAAGGGGGGGGGGCGGCCCCCTGTGCCCCCACTAAATCCGCCCCTGATATCAATGTAAATTGAAACTTTATTTACAAAGATATCCACATTGAAATCTAAATTCGGAAATTGCTTTTCCGGGATACGATTTAATATTACATACACTAATTGTATTTCCGGGAAAACTTTCAACAACGATTTTTCTAAAAAATGTAAAAAATGATTAAGAGAACGAAGTAACAAGATAACAGAGCTTATTCATTATGTCTGTGATAATAGAGACATCTCTTGGAGATTTTACGATCGACCTGTTCACTGAAGAAAGGCCAAAATGTAATTACATCAGATAGAAAAACTTTACACATGTTTGTCTCGTCACTGAAAATTATTGTAAAAATATCAGCTTGTCATAAGAAAAGGATTAAATTTTAAAAGACCACACATTAAACGGTTACATATCATCTTTACAGTTCTGAATGAAATTGAATGTCAAGGTGCCAAGATATTTAGAACTACCACTGGAAATCATACATTTCATTTTAGTTTTAGACACTTCTGTTTTTTCAGCAAACTATGTTATTTTGACTTCCAAAAGCTTAAACAACATTGATAGATAAACATTCCAAAGTTAATAGATTATGAGTCCATTTAATAAACCTTAATAAGAGATATTCTTTGTATAATGCAATCATTTTTAACATGTTCAAATTATGTTTGAAAAGAAAGTAATTCTTAGTAAGTCTAACTCTCCATTGCAGGTTGTAAAAATTTCCTGAAATTATGCAAAGTCAAGTATTATAACTTCTGCTTGTTCCATTCTGTTCAGGTATGCTTTAATGACATAAACATGGTCTGTTATTACGCTTTGTTTAAACATGTTAAACTTCTTATCTTCAGGGAAAAGTAACTTCTCTCTTGGTGTCAGAAAGGTGTTTTGGTTTCTAGAAGCAACTAGTATATTAACTGTAAATGCATATTTAATTTTTTACAGCATTAATATTTTTAATGTGTGGATTTTATGTCAGATGAGATAGAAAAAAGGAAAATGTTTCCTACTGCATTTGAATAGAAACTAACAAGTCAGATGTCTGTAGATGGACAACACATTTTGCTTAAGATATACTTGATATTGGCCAATATATTGCTTATCTGAAGAAGAAAAGTGGTGATAAGAGACTTACTTGTTTATAAAATAAACAAACCATGAAATGTAAGGATTTTCATCATGCTCATATATTCCTTATGTCACATGGAATTTTTAAGACTGTACTAAAAGACAAATTGGCTTTTTTTTCAAATTAAAAAAAAAAGATATTTTTACATGAAGACATAAAAAAAAATGCAAGTTATACTTATTTCAGAGAAATTTTATAGCTCAGACTGGTGATCCAGATGGAAATGGTAGAGGTGGAGAATCTATTTATGGGTAGGTTTTCTTCTTATGCATGTATATCCTTCCAATTATTGTACACCACAAATGCATGATCCTCTGGTGCAAAAAGCATCAATTTTGACGATTTTTAATTTTTTTTCTTGACCTGGAAGACCGAGGGATGATAATAGATGTATACAACTGTAGTCTGCATGTAGAGTGGACCCTAGTGAACACATTAAGCACATCAGTTCTTAGTTCGGAGTGAAACTGATCTGGGTACATCAGTCTAAAGAAGGTCATTTGGACCAAAAATCTGAAATTTCCTGATTTTTTCTGATTTTTGACTTCAACTGGAAATAGTTAACACCTATGCGTATTTCAATAATTAACACGATCTGTAGTTATATGGCTGCGGGTTTACACTATTTGTAGAAGTTTTAGGCCTCAGAACTTCGTGTGTCAGACCTCGAAGGGACGCCCACCCCTCCAAAAAACCCAGTTTTATCTGATTTCAATTTTCGAAATTCGTATTTGAGCTCAAAATGAACATTAATACTGAGAAACATGACAATAAATAGGGTAAGATTAAGGAAACATGCATACACTTCAAAATAAATGGCATAAAGTTGACCTCTAAATGTATGGAGCGCCATTGGAGCCACAAAACGGTATTTTGGGTATGGCCCACATGGTAAGGGTTAAGATTCAAAAGAATGTTGAAAAATCTATTTTGCAAATCATTATTTTTTTCAGTAGTTGTGTATTTATTTCATATTTCTTTGTAGAACTTTATATGGAGAGCAAGCAAGATATTTTGACTGGGAGTTTGTTCCTAAAATAAAACATGTAAAAAGAGGTCTTGTTTCTATGGTAAACAATGGCAACAATATGCATGGATCACAGGTAATCATTTAAGGCATTTACATCCTGCACACACAATTAGGTATAAAGGAATCAACATTGTGTCAATAAAAGTACAACACCTGTTTACCCTCAGATGGATTTTAATGAAACTTTCCACAAAGCTTACATGTATATACTCCATTAAGGAAGATGTGAATGAAGCAAAACAGTTACTGTAGAGAATCGAAGATTACTGCATGTACTCTAAGTAGAGATATTTTATTTTGAAATTACTTTGATATATGGTAGTCCATTTATACTTAATGCAGACATGCTGTGAGACTTGGAAAATGAAGCAAAATTATTGATTTCCCTTTATAAAAGAAAGACAAATAAAACATGAGTCTAGCTAAAAGGTCTGATATGGAAACATCTTTTGCAGATCCAAATTATCATGTGTATTATGAAAGTGAGGACAAAGATTTAAATGGAATTGTTTTGCATTTTATGTACTAATTATCAAATTCTATGGTGAAATAATTTTCAACATGAAAAAGTGTCCTTCAAAAATAAAGATAAATGATGAGATGGATGCGAAAGAAAGAAAACAAAAGCTCGTAAATAACCATTATAGCAAAAGAACAGTAACTCATCTTCATCTTTAGGTTCCTGCAACATGTAGAATACTGTACCAGGAGACAGAACTTATAGAGCATTCTATATGCAAAAACATATATATAAAAAAATGAATTAATTTAAAATTATAATCTACATTACATTTTACCAAATGCTAAAATTTCGAAACAAAAAAAAGAGGGAAAACTTAAGAAGGAAAAAAGTTCAAAGTGTAATTTTTTGTACATTATCACTTTATCAGAAAGCTTTGGGTTAAACAGAGGGAAATGTTGTCAATTCAGAAATTATTGCATGCATTTATTATTGCGGTTGTTGATTAATGAACACAAATACAGTGTTTTCAGGAAATGCTGCATACATTAATGCTATGGAAATTTAAAATTCAGTAAGTTTTTAGTTTTGCAAAACATGTCCAGTTGCAATAATTTCTGAATTTACAGAATCATTATCATGTCTATTTCATCTATTTTACAGTTTTTCCTTACTCTTGGTGATTCCTTGGACTACTTGGATGGTGTACACACAGTAATTGGTGAGGTCACCGAAGGGTTAGAGGTCATCCAGAAGTTAAACGAAGCATACTGTGACGAAAAATTCAAACCATTTAGGGATATCAGGTAAAATATCTTCTCATGAACAGATTAAGGATTTCTTATACAGTTCATTTATATAAAGAATCATAAATACTGTACACCGACTAATTTTAGTGAATTATTTTTGCAACTTTCCTGAGTATAAAAACAACTCGGATCTTCCCTTAATAAACTTCATCAAGTAAGTTGATTTGCCACAATGTGAGCTAGAAAAGGCTAAACCTGAAATAAAGTATGCCCGAAAATAAGTTGGTATAATACAGTATTGGATATTTCTCTTCCTAAATTTGAATAAAATTGAGAATGGATATGGGCAATGTGCCAAAGAGACAACAACCCGACCAAAGGGTAAACAAACAAACAGCTGAAGGCCACCCATGGGTCTTCAACACAGCAAGAAAATCCCACACCAAGAGGCGGACTTCAACTGGCCCCTAAACAAAAATGTGTACTAGTTCAGTGAAAATGGAAGTCATACTAAACTCCAAAACATATAATTGAACTAAGATTAAAAATCATACAAGACTAACAAAGGTCAGAGGCTTTTGACTTGGGACAGGTGCAAAAATGTGGCGGGGTTAAACATGTTTTGTGAGATTTAAAACCTCCCCCTATACCTCTAGCAAATGTAGAAAAAACAAACACACAGCAATACGCACAGTAAAACTCAGTTTAAAAGAAGTCCTAGTCCGATGTCAGAAAAGGTAACAAAAGAAACTATGCAAAATGACAATGATACACAAATTAACAAAGGACTATAAGAAGTTACTGACATGCCAGCTCGAGACCTTAATTTAACTGATTGAAAGAATATGTCTTCATCATATGAAAATCAAGCACAATCCCTCCCATTAGGGGTTTAGTATCATACCATCATAAAATATGTGAGAAGAACCCGTATCATGCCAACAACTGGTTTTAGAATAAATATTTCCTATGCAAAGACCCTATAAGTGAATCAATATTAATACCAAAATATGCCATCTTTAATGACCTGACAACAGTATTGTAACTATATCCCTTCTGAATAAGTCTTTTTAAAGGTTTGGTTAACTTTTGAGGTGAATGCTGACATTTTTCTGCTTTGTGAAGAATATTAGTACCATAAAAGATTGGGTGTGAAATACCTGAACGTATAAGATGTCTGCATGTTGATTTATATTTACGAATGATGTCCTTGCACTGATGATAAAATTTAGTAAATGTTTTGACTAGTTTGTAATATCGAAAACCCTGGTGTAATAATTTTTCAGTAATACAGAGATTTCTTTTGTTAAAATCAAATACGTTGTTACATACACGAGCGAATCAAACAAGTTGAGTTATATAAACACCATAAGAAGGTGACAAGGGAACGTCACCATCTGAAAATGGATAATTAACAATAGGAAATGAAAAATCATCTCTTTTATCATAAATTTTGGTATTAAGCTTCCCGTGAAAGATATAGATATAAAGATTCTGGAAAGGACAGTGTTCATTGTTAGTATTAGCTTTATTTAAAGTCAGTTCAGCAGGATAAATCTCTTTAGTGTACATACTTAAGTCGTCATTATTGAGAGCCAAAATATCATCCAAGTAATTATATCTAAAAGTGTAATTAAATTTTTGTATCAGATGTTGTTTCGATGGGTCTTTGCTGATTTTAGTCATAAATTGTAATTCATAACAATACAGAAACAGGTCCGCAATAAGTGGTGCACAGTTAGTCCCCATTGTAATTCCGATAACTTGACGATATACAGAATCTCCATAAGGAACAAAAATGTTATCTAGTAAAAATTCCAGGGCAGTTAAAGTATCAAAGCAGGTTCAATTTACATAGTTCTTTTGTTTGTTGTTACTAAAAAATGACCTTAAAGAGTTTGAACATATAAATTTGCATTCTGACTTTTTAAATGCCCTTTTAATTAAGTGTGTGAATTTTTGTGAAGCATTGATAACTGGTTTTTACAACAGTTTCAATAAAAAAATCATCTTCTATTGAAAATACAATAAAACTTTTTGTGCATTAATAATTCATCACAATTTAAGTAGAGTCAAATCTACTTTAAAGGTTACCTCTATTAAGGGAAAACCTGTCGTGTCAGGTTATGCTCTTCTTTTCACACTGTAGTTATACCTATGCATTTTAAACCTTAATTCAAGGTTCACCTCTCTTATGAGGTCACTTTTCTTTGGTTCCATTTGACTGTGCTTCACATATATAGATAACCATAAAGAAAAGCTTGTGGAAATAAAAAATCTGAAATTTTTTCTGAATTTTTAAGAATTGAAAAATACAGAGAGGATACCAAGACAGCCATTACAGATATTAAGGCTGATATGTATTGATTATCAGGTTGTCTGAATATTGATATTGTAAAATATCAGCTGCGAGTCACAATATGAAGCTTTTATCAAGCGAGTGCAGGGAACCTGTTCAAAAAAGCTTCATAAATCGTGTTGAGCAGCTGATATTTTACAATATGAATATGCAGACAACCAGATAACCAATTTATCGGGTTGTATTTGGTTATTTTGTCTCATAGAAACAAGTGTTTTCTTTATTTAACCTGCAAACTGGAAGATGACTTGATAAGTTCAGGACAATCTTATCAACATCGGCTCAATCATTATGACATAGACTACTAAGATGATATTTCCGGGTCAAAGTTATTAAGGCCAGGTCAATGTATTTGATGTCACGAAGCTGTGATATGTAATTTTATTAAGCATAGTGATACAGACAGTGGAACAACTGATAAAAACAGACAACACAAAGCCCAAAAAGGTGAACAAAACATTATACAGAAAACTAAAGATTGAGCAACATAGACTACAGCAAACATCTAGAAACATTGCTAATCTAACATTGAATATTTAGAGACAAAGATTTACAATGTGACTTTGTTGTTGTAGGGAATACAGGTCATAAAACTCAAAACATTTTTTTGGCATATAAACTAAGGTTGAAGCGAAACTACTTAAACTTACTTAAGTTGTACAAAATTCATGGAGTCTTTATTTCTGAAAATTTTTATTCACTCTTTGAAGATTTGGGGGAAAAAACATGAAAATTTATGTTCAGTGTTATGATAAGGTAAAATATTAATGAGGCCTGTTTTCAATTGCAAGGAATGAATAATATGTCATTTATAATTATGAATTGTTTCCCTTTGGTTAAACAAAAGCATCAGTATTGGGAAATTTTACTTTTTCTAATACTGTACCAAACAAACTGAAAGTTAAGAATAAACTATTTGATGAAGATAGGTATTAAATTATACAGAAACAAAGCAGTTATTCTAACATTTTCATGTAAAATTGAGAATGGAAAATGGGGAATGTGTCAAAGAGACAACAACCCAACCAAAGAGCAGTAAAACATCCCAAGGCCACCAAAGAGTCTTCAACACAGTGAGAAAATCCAGCACCCAGTGGTGGGCTTCAGCTTGCCCCTAAACAGAAAAGTGTAATAGTTCAGGGAAAATGCCTACATTTCTACAGTAAATGTCAAAACCACAACCATAACACAGCATGTAATTGAATGTAGAGATCTTTAAGATGTGAATTATGTTTATTCCAGAATACATCACACTATCATATTAGAAGATCCTTTTGAAGATCCACCAGGTTTAGATATGCCAGACAGATCTCCATCTCCTCCTCCAGCAGTTATTGAGGTAAGACCTCCCCCCCAAGCAGTTCTCTCTGCGATATCCCAGACAGATCTCCTTCTCCTCCTCCAGCAGTTATTGGGGTAAGACCTCCCCCCAAGCAGATCTCTCTGAGATATCCAAGACAGATCTCCTTCTCCTCCTCCAGCAGTTATTGGGGTAAGACCTCCCCCCCAAGCAGATCTCTCTGAGATATGCCAGACAAATCTCCTTCTCCTCCTCCAGCAGTAATTGGGGTAAGACCTCCCCCCCAAGCAGATCTCTCTGAGATATGCCAGACAGATCTCCTTCTCCTCCTCCAGCAGTTATTGAGGTAAGACTTTCTTCTAAGCAGGTTCTCTAAGATATGCCATACAGATCTCCTTTCCCTCCTCCAGCAGTTATTGGGGTAAGACCTCCCCCCAAGCAGATCTCTCTGAGATATACCAGACAGATCTCCTTCTCCTCCTCCAGCAGTTATTGAGGTAAGACTTTCTCCTAAGCAGGTTGTATAAGATATGCCAGACAGATCTCCTTCTCCTCCTCCAGCAGTTATTGAGGTAAGACTTTCTCCTAAGCTGGTTCTCTGAGATATGCCAGACAGATCTCCTTCTCCTCCTCCAGCAGTTATTGAGGTAAGACCTCCCCCCCAAGCAGATCTCTCTGAGATATCCCAGACAGATCTCCTTCTCCTCCTCAAGCAGTTATTGAGGTAAAACTTTCTCCTAAGCAGGTTCTCTAAGATATCCCAGACAGATCTCCTTCTCCTCCTCCAGCAGTTATTGAGGTAATACTTTCTCCTAAGCAGGTTCTCTGAGATATCCCAGACAGATCTCCTTCTCCTCCTCCAGCAGTTATTGAGGTAAAACTTTCTCCTAAGCAGGTTCTCTAAGATATCCCAGACAGATCTCCTTCTCCTCCTCCAGCAGTTATTGAGGTAATACTTTCTCCTAAGTAGGTTCTCTAAGATATGCCAGACAGATCTCCTTCTCTTCCTCCAGCAGTTATTGAGGTAAGACTTTCTCCTAAGCAGGTTCTCTGAGATATCCCAGACAGATCTCCTTCTCCTCCTCCAGCAGTTATTGAGGTAATACTTTCTCCTAAGCAGGTTCTCTAAGATATGCCAGACAGATCTCCTTCTCCTCCTCCAGCAGTTATTGAGGTAAGACTTTCTCCTAAGCAGGTTGTCTAAGATATGCCAGACAGATCTCCTTCTCCTCCTCCAGCAGTTATTGAGGTAAGACTTTCTCCTAAGCTGGTTCTCTGAGATATGCCAGACAGATCTCCTTCTCCTCCTCCAGCAGTTATGGAGGTAAGACTTTCTCCTAAGCAGGTTCTCTAAGATATCCCAGACAGATCTCCTTCTCCTCCTCCAGCAGTTATTGAGGTAAAACTTTCTCCTAAGCAGGTTCTCTAAGATATGCCAGACAGATCTCCTTCTCCTCCTCCAGCAGTTATTGAGGTAAGACTTTCTCCTAAGCAGGTTCTCTGAGATATCCCAGACAGATCTCCTTCTCTTCCTCCAGCAGTTATTGGGGTAAGACCTCCCCCCCCCCCCCCCCAAGCAGATCTCTCTAAGATATGCCAGACAGATCACCTTCTCTTCCTCCAGCAGTTATTGAGGTAAGACTTTTTCCTAAGCAGGTTCTCTAAGATATGCCAGACAGATCTCCTTCTCTTCCTCCAGCAGTTATTGAGATAATAGTTCTTTCCAAGCAGTTTTATAGGAGATATGCAAAACATATCTCTCTATAACAACAAAAGGTCCCATATGGTTTCCTTAACCTAAGGATTTTGCTTATATTATTTGGAGTTGGTATCTGACACATGTTTTCCTTGGAGACAGAGAACATTTATTGAAAATTTAAATTTAATTATCTTATTTTAATCAATGATATGTTTAAATGTTGACAGTTGTAAGTGTAAAGATCCTCAATTTAAAAATTATGAAATTGAAAAAGGTTTTCAAACATTGCAAACTTTTTTTTTTTTACATTTTAGCCTCATCTGGTCATTTATTTTAAAGGATAAAACATAAACATATGAAACATAGCAAGCTTAACTTTTAGACTGAATAATTTTAGTAAAGGATCATTTTTGTCTCGCCTTGACGGAGTCAAAAAAGCGAGACATAGGTATGCTGTTTCTGGCGTCAGCGGCGGCATCAACTGCGGCAGTGGCGGCGGCGTCAACAATGTATTAGTTTGTGATTAGGTCTAGTTCATGGTGAACCATTAGTGGTAGGTCAATGATATTTGGTATGCAGTTGTATTAGCATTGGCACATCTCATTACCATGGAGATTATTTGGCCCCGCTTCCTCAGTCATGGTCTATTGACTTTGAAACTTTTCATAGTTAACATGTATTAGTTTGTGATTAGGTCAATTTATGGGGAACCACTAGTGGTAGGTCAATGATATTTGGTATGCAGTTGTATAAGCATGGGCATATCTCATTTCCATGGAGATTATTTGGCTCTGCCCCCTTAGTCATGGTCTATAGACTTTGAAAATATTGCTAAGTTTACATGTATTAGCTTGTGATTAGATCAGTTCAAGGGGAACCATTAGTGGTAGGCCAATGTTAATTTGTGTTCAGTTGTATAAGCATTAGCACATCTCATTTCCATGGAGAATATTTGGCTCTGCCCCCTTAGTCATGGTCTATAGACTTTGAAAATTTTGCTAAGTTTACATGTATTAGTTTGTGATTAGATCTAGTTCATGGTGAACCACTAGTGGTAGGTCAATGATATTTGGTATGCAGTTGTATTAGCATTGGCACATCTCATTCCATGGAGATTGTTTAGCCATGTACCTTCAGTCATGGTTCATCGACTTTGAATATTTGCATTACTTACATGTTAAAGTATAGCAATTTTAATTTCAACATTTGCATTATCAAAATTACAAAAAGGTGAGGCATATCTCTGTGATAACAGTTTATTATGATTTATTTTACAAAAACAATGATTAAAGAGTACTAAGTGAGATTTTAATGTTTTACAGCGTGCACGTTTAGCTGCTGATGCTGAAATTGATGACCTTGAAGGAATGACAGAAGAAGAAATAAGAGAAATTATGGAAGAGAGAGAAGAAAAAGCTAATGCCCAGTTATTAGAAATGGTAAGACAGTATGGAGGGTTTTGGGAATATATTTTGTTAACTTCAGATGTGAAGTTCCAAATCATTGTCAAATCTTGTTTGCTATATTATAATGATCAAGACACCAAAGACACATACAATATAACCTGTCTAACTCAGGTGTTTGTACTACACAGGTAAATGAGCTTATAGATACCATGCTTAAAATTTTGTACACTAGACATGCATTTGACTACAAGACTCCACAGTGACACTCAAATCAATAAGGTAAAAGGCCAAATAAAGTCCTAAATTGGAGAACATTGAGGACCAAAAATTCAGAAAGGGTAATTACTGAAGGACAAAAGCAGAAAATATATTTGCTTCTGTATTTGGAAAACTTTTGATTGTTTTTTCAAAGCTTGTAATATTTAAGTATACTGTATATCTAAATAATTTTGTGCACACTTATTAATATTATTATTGAACAATGGACAAAAATATTTTATTAAGGTGGTACCAAACACCTTGACTAAAATAAATATGGCTCGTTTAATTTTCATAAAATTTTGACAAAATATTTACTTTGACCCTTTGACAAAAATATAAAAATTTCAAAAAAATTGAACCACACACTTTATCGGTAAATTTCATTGGATATATATAGCAGTTTGACAAACACTAATTTTGATCATTGAGAAGCATAATATTTCCTTAACAATAGAACGTGATAAAAACGTTCAGCTGATTTTTACAGAGTTATCTCCCTGTAGTGTTATGTACCACCTTAACTGTTACAATTTCAGGTAATGCTGCATACATATAATGCTATATAAAAAATGAAACATGCAATCTTTCTATTTTTGAAAAAAACATTTTGTCGCATTCTGAATGTTTAAAATTTAATGTTAAAGATAAAAAATCATTTGATTTAGGATACATGCAAATCTAGTCCTAACTCTGCACTTACATTTTTTGTATTAGATCTAGTATATATTATATACTGCAAGCCAAAGAATGAATGTTTACTGTCACCCAACTTACCATATTTTTAACCCCCTATCCTATATTCTTTGACCCTTTTCCATAACACACTATTGAAGACACAATGTCTACTGAACAGACTTGTTAATATAAAAAATACCAAATAATAAAATTCCCTTCCCAAATGGTTTTTATCATGTGATCAAAAATATGTGTTTCTTTTTTGGCCTAAACTAATTCTTTTCTTTTAAAATATGCTTTTTACTGCTGTAAGCAGGATATTTTTATTTTATTTTAGGAATTTAAGAAATGTATTCATATAAGGGAACATCAAAATTTGGCATGTTAGGACAATTTTTTTTTGCAGTATTTTTCTACTTGTGAAAATTACAAAAAAAACATTAATACAATGTGTTGCATAAATTGTTTTTTTTCCAGAGATATTTTACCTGTTCATAACACTAATACACTTCTTTTGATAATAGATAGGAGATTTACCTTCAACAGATATTACAGCACCAGAAAATATACTGTTTGTTTGTAAATTAAATTCTGTCACTACAGATGAAGATCTGGAAATTATATTTTCAAGATTTGGTCCAATAAAAAGGTAATTTATATATATAAGCACAATTTATGCTTTTTAATATCGATTTTCAAATTGTTGGAAAGAGTGTGCTGGTCCTGCTGCAACGTATAATATAAAAATAAGGAGATGTGATATGATTGCCAATGAGACAACTATCCACCAAATTTCAAATGATGTACATGTAAGCAATTATAGACCGATACAGCCTTCCTTTACAGCTACTGTGGATTCATTTATTTCCGTGGGTACCAATTTTCGTGGATTGATGAAAACTTGCATATTCGTGGATATTTAAATTCGTTGTTTTGGCAAATTCTGCATACATTCCTTTAGAAAATCTGTAATTCGTTGAACATTTAAATTCGTGGTTCCCCTGTATCCACGAAATCCACGAAAATAGGTATCCAACGAATATTAATGAATCCACAGTATTCCAAAGAAATATTTAAGAATGTAAATAGAAATAAGGAGATGGGGTATAATGTCAACGAGTCAACTCTTCAACAGAGATCACATGACATAGAAATTAGCAACTATAGGTCACTGTATGGCCTTCAACAATGAGCAAAATCCCATACTGAATAGCAAGCTATAAAAGGCCCCGAGATGACAAATAAAAAAACAATTCAAACTAGAAAAGTAACGCCCTGATTTATGTTCAAAACAGTAAATGAAAAATAAATATGATATACAGCAACAAAAGACAACCACTGAAATACAGGGTCCTGACTTGAAACAGGCACATTCAGAATATGCAAAACTAAAATTTGGCAACTTACCTAGACAAATGATAAATGTCTTGACACAAATTTGTACAGTAATGAATTAAATCCTTTTACTTTTCCAAGGAGGAGTGGATTTAACCTATTTAACACATGGGGAAGGGGTTTACAATAAGTTTTCAAGAATTCCAGTTGATTTCAGGCTCTAATATTTGATATTCATGTTTTTAGCTGTGAAGTTATCAGAGATCAGAAAACAGGAGAGTCCTTACAGTATGCCTTTATTGAATTTGAAAAGGTATCATTAATGTTAAGATAAAAACTGAAGATACTCTACATTAAAGTTGAAAGTAGCCTTTTCTACTCATACAGAGTTAGATTTTGCATAAGGGGGAGGGGCAAAATGTTCAGCCTTTTAGTTTTGACATAATGTTTATATTGTTTGCTTCATGTATTTTAACAGAAAGCATTTGCATTTATTTTTTTACCAAAAAATTAGAAAAACTTCAGTGGACATAGATAAGACATCCAATAATAACTTGGGAATTGTTTCATTTAATGAATTAAACTTTTTCAGAAAAAAGATTGTGAGAGTGCTTACTTTAAGATGGACAATGTACTTATTGATGATCGGAGGATCCATGTGGACTTCAGTCAGTCTGTCTCTAAACTTAAATGGAAAGGAAAAGGTAATTGTATTCAAATGGCACAAAGTAAATATAGATTCTTCTGTTGCATTTTGGTTATGATATTTCAGTAATTAGTCTAACAAATATATTTTGTTGGTGACTTGTCTAACATTAGGAATGATAAAAATAATTTTGAAGATTTATTGTTGTTTTTTTTTGCAAAATATTTAAATTTTGATGTGTTACTCCTAAATTCAAAATATGTACAAGTGCTTGTTGTCCCAACAACATTAGTTGTGTTAAACTTTAAAAGGGCCATCTTTAATGTTTCAGAAAGTTCCCTTGTGTGTAGAGTGAATTCCATTACAAATTTCACTAAGTTTGACTATTTTGAGAGAACATTTGGTATAAAGTGTTCATTTACATTTTGATCAACACACAAAAATGTGAAATTAATTAGTGGAGTTTCAGATCATAATACATGAATTGAACATAAAGATAATGTAAAAAGAATTTAAAATTCAATAGTAATTCAGTCACATTTTTTACCTGAATGAAAACAACGGTGACACATCTGAAAGTTACAAAAATTTAATATTCAATAGTAATCAAGTTGCTATTTTTTCAATAATTAAAAATAGTGACATTTCTAATAAAAATAGTGACATTTCTAAGTTAACAGAAATATATATGTTTATTTACAATGGAAGTTGCAGGGAATAAATATAACAGTTTATTTCATTCTCTTTTGCAGGAAAAGGTGTAGAAACAGTAAAAGAAGATCCAAAGAAACCAAAATATATAATCAAAAATAAATCACAAAGACAAGACGAGTATCCTTTCATGTTATTGACATACAATTTGGTAAAAAAGATAAATTTTTACCAATTTGATCTTTTGATACATTTACCCCTACAAATTAGGTTGATTATCTGCTAAGCCATTAGCTCCTTCTATTATTTAAATGAGAAAGTCCACAAAATTAAAAAAAAAAAAATCAAAATTTTTCAGAGGACCAATTAATTTGTAAGGTAGACATTCATTGTCCTCTTAAAAAATAAAATTAAATTAATATAAACCTCATCTCTCATTAAGCATGTCTATCACAGTATTGAATTCTGTCTTCTCTAACAGGTTATTTTTATTAAATGGTCTAACATTATCACTGTTAGGAACATTTGATAATAATGTGCCAACCCCTGCAGATGAAAAAATCAGTTGTAACATTGTAAAGTAAAATTGACAATATATTTATTCAAAGTAACACATTGTACATATTTATCTTTAACAAACTGCAGTAATTATGAGCTGGTATTTGAAGAAAATGGTGATAACAAGACTTCTAAGAAGAAACGCAAAGACAAGTCACATGACCTAGATGATGAATACAGAAATAAGGTACTTGAATTAAATTTGTAGTCTATATAGATTAGTTAATGATTTAGTAAAAGGGAGACAATTTCAACAAAACTAATATTCTTACAGTAGATTTGTTGTTCTCAATAATGGGTTGGTCTGGATCAGGGCTTCCAAAAAAAAATTTGAGCCAGCGGGACATTTTTTGTCTTGTCCCGATTGTAATCCCTTAAGACCTAGTAACAAAAGGCAATCATGGTAATCAGTTGGGCATCATATAGATAATGATTGACATAAAAACAATATTAAACGACTTTTGATATAAATTCAATGTTCTGACATAAACTGTTAACTTGACAGTGCATCATTTGAAGTGTGCAACATCAGCGTACTAATATCTGCCATAGACTATTTATTTGTGTAAAATTATGTTGTCAATATAGAATCAAGTTATGTTAGATTCTGCTTTAAAAATATGTAATAATTTCAAAAATCTAAATATAGAAAACATATTTATTTGGCTTCTTTCACGTGAAAATGAAGAAATATGCAACAGTGTGGCTTTGATTTGTTATAAATGTTTAACAATAAGAAAACTACTGCTATAGTTAAATCCATATTATCAAAAACATTTTAATTATTGTTTCTTTACTTATGTCTATTTGTATCATTATGTGTAACATGCCCTTTATGGCCCGATAATTGGCTTAATAAAGTACTAGTATTATTGGTATGATTTATGTATATTCCAGTAAAGTTGTAATCCCATATTAAGCCTTTGATTTTGCACCTGGAAACCACTTCCCTGCACAAACTTTGGTCTATTTTGAAGGAATTTTGACCTTGGACCTAGTGACCTCAAAATCAAATACGATAGGGATCTTCTTCTCATCAAAAACTGCCAAAATATCCTCATTTTGAGATCTTGTAATTAGTACTGTAAATTTGGGAATGTGAATGCCATTTTAAGAATATCTGCATACAGATACATGTATTAGAAATCAGAATTTAAGTTCTTTATATGTTTGTGTAACAACAAGTCTTTTGATATGATAAGAGTATTCTCAAGGTTAAAAGATATTTGATCAAGTTAATTTGGTTAAACCATGAAAAGGAATAAAGATATCTTAATTTCTTTTTAACACAATTGCTTGATATTTAAAAGCAAGTCTTCATCTTTACTAAATGGGCAATTCTGAGTGCCATATTAATTTTTATTTTCCTGTTTTAATGTGAATCTCAATATGTTTGTTGATAATATTTAAAAAAATTTTCACACAAAAAAATGTAGGAATGTGAACAATAGAAGAATTTTATGTATTTAGAAAAGGCAAAACATTTGATTCAGCAAGTAAAATATAAAATGCTTCACAATAAAATAAATGTCTTCTGATATTATTTTTCGAAAACAAGAATTGGAGTTGTTAGCTGGGTCAATATCCCTAATGCACCTCAAATTGAGGAACACAAAAGTTGTGCGTAAACAAAAAATCTCTGTGTAGTGATATTTAACATGTTTCAATTTTTATTTTAACGAATGACTGAGCTTAACCATTTGTGCTGATTTGGAGAGTAGAGGACCATAGAATAAATGTGTAAAAACTATAGAGTTATTAAATGTATGCAAAGAACTAAATTTTCAAAGAACTTTTGTTTTAACCTTGAGGAGCCAAATCGTGAAAGGATTTTTTGATGTGCTAATTTACAGAAATATGAATCACATTTCATACCTCGAAAATTTAACCCCATATATGAAAATGTCTCAGCTTGGAAACAAGCCATCATACATATCCAAGCTTAAGATATGGGCAGAGGAATTGAGGAAAAGGTTGCCATTACCGCCTACCTGAAATTAATTGTACATCTGTGCCCAGCTTAATATAGCGTAATTTGGTTAATTAGTTTATTATTCTAGATCAGTTGTGTAAAAGTCCATCAAAGTATCTTTTGATTTATTCAAAACAAAATTTTGTTTAGCCCAACTTATTTAAAAAGACAATAAATTAATGAGTTACTTCCCCTTCATTTATGATACATGTTTGTACATTTAAGAAAATACTTATGTTCATTCTAAAATTTCCTTTTAGTAAGGTTGTTTTAATATACATGATATAGAAGCATACAATACTCAAATTTTATCAAATGACTTGGATATTGTTTTGACATTAGATTTAGGTTTTCTAATCTTAATACTTTCAAAATGAAGTTTCATGCCACTTTTACATCTTTTTGACAAAAGTTTTTTTGATTTTTTTGTTTATTGAATTACAAAAAAGGCTGGATACCAATGTTTGTTCAATTTTGATGTGCAATAATTAATAAAAAGTACCAAAGTTAATGTCTTTATATGATCAGAACAGGACACAAAATGAGTTATTTATTTATTTTATTGTTTAAGATTAATAAATTAGAAATGCTTATAAAAATCTCCATTAAAGTCTTTATTAATTATATTGTATGAAATAATATGAAGACATGGATTGTAGATCACTGTACTCTTCCTCATGCTTTGATTTATTTAGTCAAAACAAAAACTAATGACATATCAAATGATTCATTTATTGTTGTAAAACAACAAGTTTAAATTTGCATATTTGAAACTTGTTTCACGAACAAATTGTGGCTTTGTGTTTATAAAATAAATTTTATTGGTATTCAAATCAACAATAATATTTTTATTAATTAACAGTCTGGAACACACTTCCTTATTCATTGATTCGTTTAAAAAAAACTGGCAAGGTCACACCAGACTTATTTTTATTTCTCTGGTTTAAGGATTATTATTTTAGTTTTGGAGGGATGAAATTTTCAATGAAAAATTATTTCACCCTGCTTTTAATAGTAATTGATTTGAAACTGAAATTTGTCACTGCTTGTTAGCCATGTTGAACAGCAAGGATATATTTTATTTAAACAGAAAAACACACAAAAGATATATAGGGATTATTTTGTGAAAATGAATGACTTATTTTAACAGATGGAAAAAATGAAATGAGTTACTGCCCTTCTTCCAGGGTGAAATGTTTGTAGAATGGCATTATGAACATTGGAAAAGATAGTTTAATGCAGATGCAATGCCTGACGGTACTTTAAGATATTACTCAAAGCACCAAACCATTAATTCAAGATTGTAATTAGATATTAAGTTTTGAAAGTTTGTATCTTTATTTTCTAAGGACATTTCATGCCGCTACCATACCTCTGTGTCAAATTTAAGGAAAGTTTGTTCATTTTTGGCTGGGTACCATATTTGATACATTTTTGTGTCCAATGAATGACAAAAAGTGCCAATGCTTACATCATTTTATATAAAAAAAAAAGTGAGTAATATTCATTCCTGCCTATGATAGTAAATCAGTCCTGTATCTGGTTCAAGTTTTTGGTTGATGTAGTTTACTATAGAATTGTAGTCACATCAACTTTAAACTTTGTCATATGATAATGATGATGCGAAATTTTTAAAATACATGTACATTGTATATACCAAATTAAGGTTTTTGTGCTATCATCGTATTTTGTAATATTACTAAATCATAAGTAGTTATCAAAAGAATCATTAAATTCTTTGTAAATCATATTCTGTGTAATAATTTAGACTGTGCTCTTCCTCATCTTTTGATTTATTTATTCAAAACAAAAAGTCATAAAATATCAAATGATTCATTAATTGTTAAAAAAAACTAAGTTTTAATTTACATATTCGAAACTTGCTTCAGGAACAAATCATGGTTTTATTTATAAATTGCATTTAATTCTGCATTCAAATTGCTGATAATTTTCCCATTAAATGCATATTTTACTTTAAATTTACAGATGTGCATTAGATAAAAGAGATTAAATCAGTTTTATATGGAATTTGAGTAATATAATCTGTTAAACTGACTGTTAAACTTAATGCATTTGAACATTTGCATATTACTGCAAAATTAGAAATTAATGTGAGGTTTTAATAATGGGAAAAATACATTATACATCAATTTTTGAAAAAAATATTATCATAAACTGATGAGATATATATAGGAGGAAGGGAGGGGACTTTTGAATGAGAATCATATCAACACATCAGGCAGACCATGCATGTAATGTTTATAAACTTAAAACCTATTTGTTTACACCAGTCATTGATTTGAAACTAACTTTTTTCTTCTTTTTAGCCAGATTAATTGGCAATATGAAAATTTACTTCCAATAGGAATAAATGCTGATTTTAGGTAGTCACAGAAGACATCCAGAGTATATAAGGTTGGTCAAGAGGCAAAAAACAGTAATATATCTTATTTTTTGCCTAGCTTTAATATTTTAACAGATGAAAAACAAAAATGAGTTACTTCCCTTGATCCATGATAAGTTCAGTAAGAAATGGTTGTGTTTAGTGTCCAATGTCCCATTAGTGAAGTTGTTTAGAGAAAGATGCATTCAATACTCAAACTTAATCAAATTACTTTGAATATCAATCATGAGGGTCTGGATGTGGTGGTTGGGGTCCTTTATTTCTGTATTCTTAAATTTTTTAGGCCATTTTTCTCTATTCTTTAATACAGCACCCCAGTATTCTCTATTCTTTATTTTTTTGGTCCATTTTTCTCTATTCTTTTTATGTTTTGCCCATTATTCTCTATTCTGTAAACCCCCATGCACACCCTCAATCATTGGTTCAAGATATTAATTTGCTATTAGATTAGGTTATTTTAAAAATGACGTTTTACATTTTACATTTGCCAGTTTTACATTTTAGATATGCCAGTTTTACACTTTACATATGTCAGTTTTACATTTTACATATGCCAGTTTTACATTTTTGTGTCGTTTAGGAAATTTGTTCAAATTTAAAGTTTAGTGAATTACAAAAAGTCTGCATATCAGTGTCTGTTAAATTTCTATGTTCAATAAATTACAAAAAGTACCAAAGTTCATGTCTCCACATAATTAGAACAAAACAGAAAATGAGTTATTTATTTATTTTATTTTTATTAATAAATTATAAGTGCTTATAAAAAGCCCTATTAAAGTCTTTGTAAATCATACTTTATGTAATGATATCTAGACATGGATTGTACTCTTCCTCATTCTGTGATTTATTTATTCAAAACAAAAAGTAATAAAACATCAAATGATTCATTTAATTTATTGTGTAAAATAAACAAGTTTTAATTTGCATATTTGAAACTTGTTTCAGGATCAAATCAATGCTATTGTACACGAGTCAATCTTGTCTTTGTAGGGGTTTATATTATAGTCTTAAATTAAAGAACTGTCATATGTTTATTTCTTATATTTGCTTGGAAAAGTAAAATAACAAAAAGACCAAACTACAAGGAAATTTCAATACGGAAGGTTCATTATCTAATGGCAAAATCAAAACCTCAAACACAACAAACGAATGGAAAACAATTGTCATATTCCTTATTTGGTACAGGCATTTCTGTATTTATTTAACTTTTTGGTTTGTTCTGTCCACATGGTATTTCCTTCAGTCATTTTCCAGTGGTAGTCCAAATTATGCCGAACTTCATCCTGGACTGCCTCTATTACAGGACCTACATATTGTATTAAAGTGAATTTTTTCTTGTCCTGAACATGCATGAAATATTTGCAAGTGGACATTAAGCAACCAACCTATGCCAAAAATCATTGGTATTTCCTTCCCCCTCAGCCTTGTTATAAATTCAGATAAATACTATAACTTGTTTTAATTTGCATTTTAGAAAGTTGCATCAGAAACAAATCATGATCGTATTATTGATATCATTCAAATCAATGAGGATTTTTATTTGGAATAAATATTTTACTTTTAAATTACAGATGAGTATTAGATTAAAGAGATTAAATCAGTTATACACGGTATTTAAGTACTAAAATCTGTTAAACTAAATGTTAATGCATTTTAATATTTGTATATAATTGTAAACAAGAAATTAAGGTGATGTTTTTAATAATTTGAAAAATAACCAACAGGATGCATTAATTTCTGAAAATACAGTACTAAAAACTGATATATTTAGATTTCAAATTTGAAGTATTTTCCCACAGTAAGCAAACCAAACACCTAAATGTGCATGTAACTATAGATTAACCATGGTTTTGCAAACAAGAGGATGTTTCTCAGTTGCAACCTCATGAAAGGGTGACAGCTCTGAGATGAGATGTAGCCGAAAAACATCCTCCAGTTTGATTTGATTTGATTTGATTTTTGGTGTTTTAACGCCACTTTTAAGCACCGCTTTTGGGCTATTTCGTGGCGACCAGTTTTTATTGGTGGAGGAAGCCGGAGTGCCCGGAGAGAAAACCTCTGACCTTCGATAGGAAAACTGACAATCCTAGTCAATTAAAGTTGGAGTCGAGTGCACCTGCACGAGCTGGGTTCGAACTCACAACCTCAGTGTTGACTGGCTAGTGATTACAGTAGTAACTACTTAAACCACTCGGCCACCGAGGCCCCCTCCTCCAGCAAAATTTTAGAAAATATCATTAAGGTATGATTGGGCTCCTTGAATTCAAAAATCAAAAAGTTATATAAATCTACCAAACAACTCCCTCAGATGGACATAGTACTTTCACTTTTTATATTTTTGAGTTTTTTCTTACAGATTGAAATTAGGGTTTCAAACTTCTTGATTTAGTGCAAATCAGCAAAAACTGAGATTTTAGGAATTAGGGGCCAAAAAAGGGGAAAAAAGCAAGCATTTTTCTAGTTTCATGACAATAACTTGTGTGTAAGTGTATGGATCTTTATGAAATTGTACTACAAGGTTACATATCACAAAGGGAAAGCTGGAATTGAGTTTGGGGGTAATTGCCAATAAAGTTTTGGAATAAGGGGCAAAAAAGGGGCCAAAAATAAGCATTTTTCTAGTTTCCAGACAATAACTTGTGTTCAAGTGTATGGATCTCTCTGAAATTGTACTGCAAGGTACCATACCACAAAGAGAAGGCTGGGATTGATTTTGGGGGTAATTTCCTCTAAATTTTAGGAATGAGGGGCAAAAAAGGGGCAAAAAACAAGCATTTTTCTAGTTTCAGGACAATAACTTGTGTGTAAGTGTATGGATCTTTATGAAATTGTACTACAAGGTTCCTTATCACAAAGGGAAAGCTGGGTTTGAGTTTGGGGGTAATTGCCCTAAATGTTCAGGAATTTGGGGCCAAAAAGGGGCCAAAAAACAAGCATTTTTCTAGTTTCCAGACAATGACTCGTGTTCAAGTGTATGGATTTCTCTGAAATTGTACTGCAAGGTACCATACAACAAAGAGAAGGCTGGGATTGATTTTTGGGGGTCATTTCCTCAAAATTTTAGGAATTAGGGGCAAAAAAACAAGCATTTTTCTAGTTTCAGGACAATAACTTGTGTGTAAGTGTATGGATCTTTATGAAATTGTACTACAAGGTTCCATATCACAAAGGGAAAGCTGAGTTTGAGTTTGGGGGTAATTGCCCTAAATGTTTAGGAATTTGGGGCCAAAATGGGGCCAAAAAACAAGCATTTTTCTAGTTTCCAGACAATGACTTGTGTTCAAGTGTATAGATCTCTCTGAAATTGTACTGCAAGGTACCATACCACAAAGGGAAGGCTGGGATTAAGTTTGGGGGTGATGAATCATAAGGGGGTTCCTTTTTTTTCTTTAAAATTTTCCATTTTAAATTGGTTATTTCTGATTTATATATAAAAGCAAATAATAATGATATGATTTGAATAGGTAAATTAAAATTTTTTAAGTTCTTAGACCACATTCATTCTGTGTCAGAAACCTATGCTGTGTCAAATATTTAATCACAATCCAAATTTAGTGCTGTATCAAGCTTGAATGTTGTGTCCATACTTGCCCCAACTGTTCAGGGTTCGACCTCTGCGGTCGTATCAAGCTGCGCCCAGCGGAGCATTTTAATAGTCTATTGAATAACAAAAAGGCTGCATATCAATAAATTACAAAAATTAACCAAAATTTATGTCTTCTTACAATTAGAACAGAACAGAAAATGAGTTATTTATTTATTTTATTTTGTAAGATTAATAAATTAAAAGTGCTAATTAAAAAATCACCATTAAAGTCAATATTAATTATATTGTATGTAACAATATGTAGACATGGATTGTACTAGATAGTTTTAGTCTCTTCCTCATGCGATGATTTATTTATTCAAAACAAAAAGTATTAAAATATCAAATGATTCATTGATTGTAGAAAAAGAAGAAGTTTTAATTTGCATATGTGAAACTTGTTACAGGTTAAAATCATTGCCATATTTACTATAGATGTTTAGGTTTGATAATTTTAGATGAAGGTAAATCCAGAAAAGCACATCAGAATAAAAAAAACTTTAAAGAGTTCATTTCATTAACACAAGTAATTATTCTATTTTTGTTTTGGTTTATGAATTTTAAATTTGTTTTTATCTAGATTTTTGAACTATTTGTCTATATAATTTTTCTATGGCATGGTGTTTTCTTCCATCTTTCTTAGAGTTTTGGTTTTTCTCTTGATATCTTCTTCCCTTTGTCAAACTAGAAAAAAAATATTTTTAATTGGCATATTTTAAACTAGTCTCAGAAAGTCATTTGAATCATTTTACATTTTGTCATCTTGGGGATTTTATGGCTAAGTACTGTATATTCAAAAATGATTGTGAGCATTTATTATTGTGATTTAAACATGACAGACAAACATTTGAGATCTATTGTCGTCAGTTCAGGAAAAGCTGCATAAAGATATATGTATCAGATATCAGAATGCAAGTTCTCATTAGGGAATGACCATTTAACTTCAAGGGGGGGTTATGTTTTTTTCCTAAAAAAATATTCTGATCCCCAATTTGATGAAAAAAAATATTGTGGTCAAGCAGATGACCAAAAAAAATATTCTGAATCCAGATCTTCCCCATACCTTATAGTGTTAAATTTAAAAAAAAACTATTTGATTGATAGCGTCGAAAAACTAAAATAAAATGTTTGTGCTTTGCATGGAAAAAATTTTCTGACTCAGACAAAAAACCATAACCCCCCTTGAAGTTAAATGGTTGCTCCCTTATTGCAATGCTCACCCAGTCGCACTAGTTGCATCAATAAAAACCTCATAAAAATTTACAGCATATGATATGAACTATAGTTGTTTCATTGAATTGGCAATCTCATCTCCATATTTTTACATGGTCATATTTATAAATTAGATTGAATTCAGTGATTACATTTTTTGAATAAATATTTTACTTCAAATTTTTATGTTGCAGATCAACATTAGATAAAAGAGATTAAATCAGTATTAGATGCTAGTTAATAATCAAATATTTTAATGACTGTTTATGCATAAGAAAATTTGCAAATTACTATAAACCAGACATAAATGTGATAATTTTAATAATTACAGGGTGCATTTACTTCTAAAAAAAAAATGTTACCACAAACTGAGTTGGTTTGATTTATGTAGCAGGTGAATTTATGACGAGTCAGACTTTTAAAGTGGTAGTAATAATAATGATTTTTTTAATTGTCTTAAATGTATAATTTCCAACCATGTTTTGAATCAGCTTTGTCAATTTTCGTTTGACATAACACTTTATCTTTTGCTGTTGCAGAAAAAACACAGAAGTAGATCTCGAAGTCCTGATAGAAGAAAATACAGGTCACCAGAGAGAAATAGAAGAGACGAAAGAATAAGAAGCAATGACAGACGAGGCAGATATTCCCCACCAAGATATAGAGGAGATAGATACTCATCGCCTACACGAAATAGGGACAACAGGCAGAGGTCACCACCTAGACCAAGGGGAGACAATTATTTTTCACCTCCAAGATATTGGGATGATAGGAACTCTCCTCCAAGACAGAGAGAAAAACAGATGGACAGACATAGGTCACCAGCACCCAGGGATAGAGGAAAAGAAGAGAGGAGTTATAGCAGATTTTCAGAAAAAGAAGGGTACAAAAAGACAGATAAGAAAAAATATGAAAGTTCTGATAAAGAATTATTAGATAGACAGAAGGACAAAAAGAAAAAGAGACATGAAAACAGTTCTGATGATGAATCGATGGAAAGACAGAAAAGTAAAAAGAAAAAAAGACATTCAGTTAGTTCTGGAGATGAATCATTAGAAAGACAGAAAAGTAAAGAGAAGAAAAGACTTTCAGTGAGTTCTGATGAAGATGAAAGAAATAAGAGCAAAAAGAAGAAAACTAAGAAAAATGACAGTTCAGATGATCATGAACACATTCATAAAAAGAGGAAAAAGAAAAAGGATCTGTTTTCAGATGATGGGGATGACAAGGACAGTAAGAATAGAAAGAAAAAGAAAAAGAAGAAAAAATATGATAGTAGCTCTGAAGAAGAACCTGTAAAACATTCCAAGAAAAAACAACATAGAACAAATTCAAAATCCGACAGTGAATCACCAATAACTGATAAAAAGTACAGCTCTGATAAATATCCGTCTAAATCTGTAAAAGACTATAGAGAGAGTGATGAGAGGAGAGATAATCATAGAAAGAGAGAAAGAGATGAATATAAGGGGAAAAGAAGGTAGCATTTAATCTTGTTGTTCAATTGCGGCAGCTGTTTAGAGTAAATCCTACATAAAAAGAAAAATGCAATAAAATACAATATTAGACATAAATTCAGATATTATTTCATATTTAATATGGATTATATGTGTTTAATGCATGTTAAATCTCCTCCCACTTTAGAAAAGAGATTTAAATGTTGTTTTATACATATAGACTTGGTCTGACCTTTGGAACATGTAAGAAAGCAATTGAATCAGCGTCTACAAGTGTCAAGTGGGAGGTCTACAGTGCAGTAAAACCTGGTTCAGCCCTCAACTTTCTTTTGAAAAGTGCCATTACCGTGTCAGAAATATGTCAGTTGATCACCAAACGTTTCTGTAAACAAAATTCACAGAAATTTTCCCAGTAGAAATTGATTTTCATTTTCATTACATATCTTGAAATTCTTTTTATTTGTAATTCATTATTTTTATGAAATTCAACAAACACAATCTTCACTTTTCATAGATATGCTTGCTTTCAACTTTCGTATATTTGTACAAAATGGATTGACCTTGATTAGCAGTGTAGGTTAAAATGTTAGAGTCCCAGGAGACCAAAATCCTTCAAATATTAGTCTATTCCTCTCATGCTTTTTCTTAGTATCTCATATTTCACATGCTCTAATGTAGAAGTGAGGGCCTTGTGCTTCAAGGATGATTTTAATCACTAAAATAAAAATATAACATGTTGGTATGATATACCTCTTCTGGTAGACCATCAGACCCTGAAGGTACCATCCTCCACCAAGTATCTGTTCTGGCTTGGTAGATTTATTGATATTGATTGTTGCTTGCTAAACATCCAGTGTTGCATAATTTGAAAAATACTTTTCAGCTTATAAATTATATAGATAGAAATGTATTAAAACAAAGTTTTCAACTATATCAGGCAAATTGACCATAAATAGTTTTGACTTCTGTTTTGGCACTTTTGGGTTAATCTTTGCCATTCAGCTACCTAAATGTTTGGTCTCAAATTCATCCGATTGAAATCATTTCAATACAAAAATGTATTGTGTGCACAAAAAGAAGTTTATCCTGCAATCAGCCTTTCTACTATACAAATACAGGTATACAGATCACAGGAAGCAATACAAATATGGTATACATATATAGTCTTCTGGTATCCTGCTTCTGTTGTGAGCTATCAGTTAATCAAAATTACTGCTTATGTCACAGGTCAATTTGGGGTCTTCACCCCTCCGCCTTTTGGATTTTTTGCACAGAGTTTCAACTTATTATTTAACAAGGAAAGATTATTAGGTTATTCCTTCAAAGTTTTACAAACACATCATGATATGGTTGACATAAAATTATGTGTTAATAATGATAATGCATATGTTCAGTTATTCCCTCCTTTCCATCATTTATGACACCACCAAATGCAACTAATTATTTGAAAGGACAAGGTTCACTTTAGGCCAAATATGGCCTTGAATTTCAACTTTATCATGAAATATCAAAAAAGGCCATAATTTGGTTCTTAAAAAGATCTATTTCAAAAGCCTTACTACTAGGTTAAACAAATCTCTTCATATGAGTACATTCTAGGCTTCAAAGTCAGCACCCCTTTGATATATTGTCAAAATATAATGGTTTTGTACATTTTCTGACCTAAAAGCTTGAGGAAACCCTTGGCAGCAATCAAAAGTCTAAAATTTTCTGTAATAAAAGATTCCACTAATGTTTTTTATACGACCGCAAAAAAATTTTTGTGGTCGTATATTGGTATGACGTTGGCGTCGTCGTCCGAAGACGCATTAGTTTTCGCACTCTAACTTTAGTTTAAGTGAATGGATCTCTGAAATTTTACCATAAGGTTCAATACCACAAAAGGAAGGTGGGGATTGATTTTGGGGGTTATGGTACCAACAGTTAAAGAATTAGGGGCCAAAAAGGGGCCAAAAATAAGCATTTTCTAGTTTCCAGACAATAACTGTGGAATGGTGTATGGATCTCTCTGAAATTATACTACAAGTTTCCATACCACAAAGGGATGGTTAGGATTTGCTTTGGGGGGTTATGGCTCAAACCGTTTAAGAATTAGGGGCAAAAAAGGGTGAAAAACAAGGTTGTCCTGGTTTATGGACAAATACTTTAGTACAAAACATAATTTAAAGCAGTGTAAGGGAGATAAATCAAATACATCATTGAAATTATCTCCCTTACACTGCTTTTAAATTATGTATAAAGTAATGGTTAATGAACAATTAAGATAATTTAAAACAGTGTAAGGGAGGTAATCCAAATACAACGTTTTGGTTACTTCCCTTACACTGCTTTTAAATTATGTTTAAAGAAATGCATATTTATAAAGGAAGACCAGTAAAAATATCTGCAAATGTTGCATCTTTTTTTTTTTACAAAAAAATCCATATGAAAGATTTGACACTATATTTTAAATTCTATTATAAAATAGATTAAGTTAGCACTATGGTAAATTTGAATGGGTAATTATGGTTGCAAACTCCATTGGAAATTTGAATTGAGATTATGACCATATCTTGAGGGAAAGAATTTTTTGGGGGAAAAAAGGGGGGGGGGGGGGGGGTCATTTTTTTCTCATTTCAGATTTCAGAAATTAAAAAGAATTATTCTTCAAATATTTTTTTTTCAAATTTCAAATATTGAAAAATTTCAAGAAGTAATCTTTAATTGCACAGTATGGCGCATTAGATTTGTAAAATCTTTGACCACATTTATTTATTTGTTATGCCGAATCTAACCGTGTATTTAGATTTTTAATTTTGGGTCCAGTTTTCAAATTGGTCTACATTAAGGTCCAAAGGGTCCAAAATTAAACTTAGTTTGATTTTAACAAAAATTGAATATATGGGGTTCTTTGATATGCTGAATCTAAACATGTATTTAGATTTTTGATTTTTGGCCCAGTTTTCAAGTTGGTCCAAATTGGGGTCCAAAATTAAACTTTGTTTGATTTCAACAAAAATTGAATATATGGGGTTCTTTGATATGCTGAATCTAACCATGTATTTAGATTTTTTATTTGTGGACCCCGCTATCAAATTGGTTCATATTGAGGTCAAAAGGGTCCAAAATTAAACTTAGTTTGATTTTAACAAAAATTGAATTCTTGGGGTTCTTTGATATGCTGAATCTAAACATGTGTTTAGATTTTTGATTATTGACCCAGTTTTCAAGTTGGGGTCCAAAATTAAACTTTGTTTGATTTCACGAAAATTGAATATATGGGGTTCTTTGATATGCTGAATCTAAACATGTATTTAGATTTTAGATTTTTGGCCCAGTTTTCAAGTTGGTCCAAATTGGGGTCCAAAATTAAACTTTGTTTGATTTCAACAAAAATTGAATATATGGGGTTCTTTGATATGCTGAATCTTACCGTGTATTTAGATTTTTTATTTGTGGGCCCGCTATCAAATTGGTTCATATTGAGGTCAAAAGGGTCCAAAATTAAACTTTGTTTGATTTCATCAAAAATTGAATCATTGGGGTTCTTTGATATGCCAAATCTAACCGTGTATTTAGATTTTTAATTTTGGGTCCCGTTTTTTAAATTGGTCTACATTAAGGTCCAAAGGGTCTGATACGGTGCTTTTTGTCCGCAATTTGCTTTTTGTCCGCTTTTGCTTTTTGTCCGATAATTTTGCTTTTTGTCCGACACTTTTGCTTTTTGTCCGTTGCTTTTTGTCCGTTTTACTTTTTGTCCGATAATTTTGCTTTTTGTCCGACACTTTTGCTTTTTGTCCGTTGCCTTTTGTCCGTTTTGCTTTTTGTCCGAAAATTTTGCTTTTTATCCGACACTTTTGCTTTTTGTCCGTTGCTTTTGGTCCGTTTTGCTTTTTGTCCGCTGATTTTGCTTTATGTCCGCTATAAAAATGTGTATATTTTTTGCAGGTTTCATTTTGAACTTCGAAACACCATGCCCTTTTTTGGAGTTAAATACAGACCATACTCACTTTAAAAATTGAGGGGAGGGGGGCCTCGGAGAATTTGAAAATGAATGATATAATACCTGGTAATAACTTGAAAAGAAAAATTTGCTAAAAAAAAACAGTGAATATTCCATCCGAAAATAAATTCGCATGGCCCATACACCCACCTACCACGACCCGAAAATGAAATGATCGATCACCATATATATAACGTTGCAATTATCCCAATGAAACTACCAGCCCAATATCATATTAAATTTGGCCACATTATCCTTTAATAATGAGAATCTGGAAGCAAGAAGGATTCCGATGAACTCACCGGTCGCCAAATATGACTGCAATGGTTAACATAGATTACAAAGTCGTAAAATACAATTTAAACTTATTTGTATATTAAAACCCTTAAAATTAGAAACTTTGATTAAGAATATCTGACAGAGATTAGGTGTTTAGAACGTCTTACTTAAACTATCGGACGACTCCTTTAATATTAGAGCTATTGCCCATAACTGAAACTATTTTGATTTGTGTTTGGTTTTTTTTTGTTTGTTTTTTTTTTTGTTGTTGCTAATCTCGAAAACATAAATGGTCTGAGAGAAACTTCGAAAATGTTTCAAAAAGCGTACTATCAAGACGATAACAAAAAACTTGACGGAAATAGCAAGGACAGTACTGGAATGGAAATTTTGTTTGATTGAAATTTGCATTTAAAAAGATTACATTAATTAATTTCCACCTTGGTCGGTTTAGTCAATTTGACGTCCTTTATGGCGCAGCTATTCAACATTTTTATCAGATTTTCTTTTGTCTCCAACATCACTGAGGAGATATTAATTGCTAAAATGGCTGGTGCAATAAAATTGGTACCGTTAATGTTATTTGAGACGACCTTAGGATTATCGAGAAGGGGTGTGGTTGTTTGGATAATTTTCATCCTATTTCATAACTAAATCCTGAATTGTCCTGTAGTTTGAAGGACAAACTAGTTATCTTAATGTTGACATGAAGATGGGCTCAGTTATTTATGTTCAATTACTGATATACAAATCTATCCATTTTTAAAATTCTCTTCTCCAAAAATGTAAAAAAAGAAAACAGTTGTCATTCCCTTACTGACTCTTAGATATTATTCATGTAGGCATTCTGGTGAAG